TTGTTCTGCCCCAGAAAGTGTCATGCTAATCTGCCAGTCCACGAAAATACCATGTCTCAGACAGGAGGATATATCTCTTCCCGTTTTGGCGGTGAGAATATTGACCACTGGTCTGTATGCTGTTGGAGCACAGCATAAATCATGTGAGATTGGTTTAGCCAAGAGCTTGCTCCGATTTGAAATAGGTTGTTAGTAAGGTTCAATTGTGGTTAAGAGCGTTTCATGGACCTGGGACGGTGTTCCGATAGAATCGTTGGCCAATGTCACTTTGAGGAGTCAAAGAACAATTGATTTGAAAGTCGTGAAGCGGAATAATAGGAATTGAAGAAGATTATTGAATACAGTGATCTTGATGTGTGAGTATGATGCAGTATACCCGTTTCTCACCCTGAAGTTTTCTTAGGTACTGAAATGAATGGATAAGGGGCCTTAGTGACCTGCGACTAACCCATGTAAAATGTTGAGTCGCACACACCTTTGTGAGTAATTTTCGGTTGCTCCGTAAATTGGAACTTACCTGACGAAATCCTGGATAGAGATGTGCATTTTTAGGTCTATTTTCAAACCCACCCTCCTTGTGGGCATCGCTGTTATGTGGTTGTCTAAGGAAATACATTACTGCCGTCACACCTCTGTACAGTCAGTATTCCAGCTTCTCCCTCAGGCCTCGGTTTTGCTGCTTTTAGTCTTACCATTCAGCAACCAACATGTCCAGCATGGTAGCATCTTGATGAACGACTGCCGCAGGCAGTTTAGCTCAATTGGTTCATTACGATAGGCAAGCTCGACGACCACATCAAGGTATCAACAACGGTCGGGCTTTCGGTTTGTGGTGATGTTGATTTCGCACGTCGTTAAATCTATTAATCTGTTGTGACATTTTCTTGTTCGTGTTGACTGTCCATGTTATAATTTGTGACTTTGTTTCCCTATCAATATATGGTGTTATGATACCGCCAATCAGAGAACAGTGATTTACTAACCGTACCAATGACGCACAAACCGCGTACCAGCATTCTAGAGTCTTATCGGCTCTTCTTCCTGCATAGCTCTGCCTGTTATATCCAGAAAACAAATCTCAGCTTCCGCAATATGTGACATGTATTTGAAAAGTACTGGGTTTTTATACAGACCAAACAGACCACATCGTACGATAAAACAGAAAATAACATATGTACAACATCAAGCCAATAATTGTTGTGCATGTGAGAGACTGTAGTTAATACACTAGGCATAACCCAAGGATGGTAAGTGGAATAATAATAAGAGGAACATGAACATACATAGTTTAGCAATATATGTGTCGCATTAAACATTTATGTTATTACTTCGGTACATCCCATGGTCGGCATTTATAACGATAATCTCGACAATCGAACTATACGTCACAGTTGAGAGCCGATGTCAAGTTCATCAAGAGAAGCTCTGATTTCATAGTAAATGTCTTATTTAAGAAAGAAATCAACACTTTGATGTCGATGTTGCAAGTATAGTTAAATTACAGATGTATAACTTCAAATAAAAGTTATGCAAAGAAAAATCTAACTTGATACTCGACCATTTCCTTAATCCAGCTACAATCTCTTTTATTCATCTGACAATAAGAATTTTCATTATGATTTTTAAAATCAAAAATATTATTCCGTAGCAGGTTGTGTTTAGGGTTGTACAGTATTTAACTACGAACTATTCGACTAATTTTGGGATGTATGTTAATATTGAAAAATGATCATCAAGACAGTCACTTTATTGGAAGTTGTCGATAACGAAATTTCAGTCAAATAAACAAGAGTAATAATTTGCGGACTATTCAACTCAAAGCCTGATTGACTTCTATAAACGTTTTTGGTATTCAATATAATTGTTGTTCTATTGTCCCATTTAATCGTAATAACGCTGATATTTGTTTTCTCCTCTCTCTTACGTATACGCTGATGCCTTTTCGTGTATATGTGCCTGTACTTATTCACATAATTAAAGACCAACTGCAGTCGACGCTTATGTGTTTGCATTTATGTGGCCCTTATTAATGTATGAATCACAGCATGGTGATTCTAATTGGTGGGATATCGACTACAACTCATCATCGTTATCATCCACTTGTTTACAATCAGGTTCACATCATTTAATCACACATCTATTACAATGTCCCAAACTAATTAGATTTTTTAAGAATATCTCGTCGAAATACTTTCAGAAACATACAAAATGTTTTAGAAAATGTATGATCTATATCCCTTTCTGATAAATTTAAATCATACACTAAGATAGATGACGGTTCTCAGTGTTTATGTGATACATTTTGTACAATACATATCAAATAATCTGATGAAAATTTAACTGCACAAATGCAAAGGTAATTGGGAATAAAGATGAAGATAATCATTGAAGTGCTCAATATGAAAATCACAATGGATAATGAACCAGTATTAACAGGGTATGATCTTGACGAGTATATGGGATATGGATATCGTGAGTTCTTTTTGTCAATAAAAAATACACGTGAACAAGGGTAGTTTCTAAGAAGAGATACAGTTTGGATGAGAACGCCATGATGAAAAACTTTCTGTTAACAGGAATTCTTCCATATTTTGGAGAATGTGAAGGAAAACTGTAACAGACTGAAAAATTGCCTTTTAACTCATTTACCAGGTACAGATTCATATACTTCGCTTTGAATCGTATTCTGATTTTCAGGGTTAAAAAAACTACCACGATTGAGTGAATCAGAGTAGGTAGAACGAGTTTCGAACCTGAGACTAGGTAACTCTAAACTAAAAACCTTGACACCTCAATTGTTAATATCCAATTAAAGAATGTATATGTACTCAATAGATTAAAACGTCAGTACCTAACATGCTTCGAATCGTTTTTTATTTCTAACTTTATTTCCAAACAGAAAAATCTTCAGTTATTGACAAGTCAGTTGAATCTCATCTAATTCGTGATTGTATTCTCTGGGGTACTGGAGTAGTTGGTTCGTTTCAAACATATGCTTATTATTCAAATAATATGTGGATTTTACAAAGGTTCAACAGATCTCGATCAACCTAAGTGGGATGTCACAAACGTATGGTATTGATGCTGATTTATCACGCAAAATACCTCTTTAAATCGTGTTACGAACGTTGGATTGGTTTCACTTCCTATCCAGAAATCCTATTACAAGCAAACTAGACATTTCGCTAATATACGAAGCCTACTCAAGACCCTATAATACCTGAAAAATAATAATAATACAAAAGAAAAATCAAAAGAGGCTCTAATAGCTTCGATAATAAAAGGAAGACAGCCAATTGTATATCACAATACTGTTTCTAGCACTATATTTTATTTTATAATCACACATAATCCCATACTCTCAGCTCCTTTCCGAATCGCCTCCATTTGTCAGTTGTATGTCCACTCACACCTTGGTAACACTTATTTTCTTTAACCTATTAAAATGCTCCTTCTTAACAAATACCTTAATAAAAGAATATTAGACTGAGTAATCATACCTTAAGCATTCCTTCAAGAATATTGGCTACTCTGCCTCTCGTGTTTTCTTTTACTTGCTCTCTCTTTCAGCCCCCTTGAGATATGGAACGGGTGACTTACTCCTGCACCATCCTTAAAGCCTTGGATATTCCAAAGGGACATAAGGTTGCGATTTCTAGAAGCTCATACCTTCAATGGACCTATCCTTGACCATCAGTTGCACATTCGCAACGCAACTTTCGTGAAGTGCGTCAACTGTAGTACTGATTAAAACCATCTACATTCATATCTTATAAATTATCAACCCAGCTGAGTAATTTACTACAGTGTATATTGTATCATTTGTATCAATTTGATCTTACCTGTAAACTGGCATGCCTCATGTAACAAACTGTTATTTGGGAATAAATTATTATTGTTATTATTATTATCTACAGTCGCTACAGTTATTCATTGTTTTATATTCATTGAATTATGTGTATTATCTCGCATTTCTCTCTCCAAATATCCTTCCTATTCTCGTAAATCTTCTTGAACCCATTGTCAATTCACACAATTTTCTACTTCATGATTCTGTATGATTTCGCACTTTTCCGATCGCACTAGGGAATATTACTATTTCTAGTTTCTTTTTTGTTCCTATGTCATCCTGGAAATATAGCACTTTATAATTTTTAAGAACACTGATTTACTCTTAATTTCCTCGGTTTATATTGTGATACAACAATGTGGGCCGATGCACACGTTCGTCGACTGCTTCTACTTTGATTGTGACTGACTTTACCCAGTGTTTTTTTGTAAAGTAAATTGCCTGGAAACTTCAAGCATCAGGTATTTCCAGCAGTTTGCTTGTTCCATATAAGTTGTGCATATGTCGTTGATCAGTCATGTAGATTAGTTAAACTGAGCAACTCCGAAATCATATTTATTGTCAAAAGAAGGTGATTTATGCAGCTTGACCATACGATGAATGAATATTTGAAGGTATCTGGCCATGGGTTTGGAGAAACCACTTGGTTTCTGCTAATTTGAGTCAACTGTGATGTAGACGGTGAATCAACCGAACTTTTAATGATCTAGTACGCTGCTCAATAGTCTACTTCGTACTAATCTATGATTATGAAAAATAACCTAATAAAGTAAAGGACTAGCGGCTAATACTAAGGTTAAAATTCAGGTAGGATTCTCTTCCAACTAATTTCAATCCCCTAATATCTCAACGTGGTGCACATGGCGTCGAATCATTTAGACTAGTGACCACATTTCAACTTAATCGATAAGGTTCATTCGGCACGAAAGGAATAGATAGACATGAAATCTATCATCACTCAGTCCTACCGGGAGTCAGTGTTAATAACTCTGACTGCAAATATGAGTGATGCTGGCTTGAATGTCACGTAGATCACTTTCCCAAAATTATCAGATGCGCTTTTCTGATGAGCGCCAGCTAGCAAGTTAAATAATTCTCGCGGGCTATCCAACAGAACCCATATATATCGTGGAGACACAAAGTCAATAATATAGAGAAACTGGATTTTTATTTATAATTATCTAATGGACAAGCATAATTTAGTATTGTCGTACAAAATAACGAGGAGAGAATTGCATTAGTGTCAAAGTTATTTTCTGTGTACATGTGTAATGTATATATAACAAAGGAATTGTAAGTAAGTAAAACAGAGACGTGAAATGTCACTTTGGTAGTGTTTAAAAACAAACCACTGAATGCAGTTTACCGTAGGAGATATGTGTACGATATTGATTTTATAGATTCTATGCATTAAAAAATGTACAAGGTGTGAAGATGAGTTTCAATGAAAGAAATTGTAGAAACGGCAAGTGTGAATTGAGTACGTTGTGTGTGTGTGTGTATGTGTTACCAAAATTGAAAATTCAACTGGACATTTATAACGCGAAAATCGGTAGCTCAGTTGAATCCAACCAGTTGTCATACATACTATTTCAAATGAATGGATCAATTGCAAAGAATATTCAAAGCTTCGTAACTAACCTAACTACTTTAGAGAAGACAACATCATCGAAAAGGAATACGTCCATATTCATAGCTATACATATCAATGAATGAAAGTGATGTTCATTTAAACAAAAAAGAGATTGATAGAAGTATTCTGTTACAGTCAAAAAAGTAAAAAATATCAAGTGAAGAACATACTGAGAATTTATCTATAAGGAGAGAGAAAGGGAGTGAGTGACGAAGTGTATTGTTGGAAGACACTTACAGTTCAGTGAAAGATTTCTCAATCTGTTTAAGAATATAACGAAATAGTAATATATATGGTCTGGATCATGGAAAGAGGTATATGTGAATAATTTATTGTCAGCAGATGACATGGTTTTATGTTTGAACAGCCGAATGAAATTCATGTCTTTTTGAATGGTACCAATGTCTGGGCTCCTTTTGACAATGCATTTTAAGAAAAGTCGATCTAAGAGTAGAACATAATTGGAGTAATCCTGATGGGAAATGCATTCGGACAGAATGAGGAAACAAAGAACAAAAGCAGAAAGAAATCATTTATTGATATCACTATTCTTTGGAGTAAACTGAATAGTTTTCGAATTAATCACACTAGAAGATTGTTGACTTTTCAAAGTTTACACCACTAAATGATTTAAGACAATCATTGAAATACGCTAACACAGATTGAACTCAGACTAATAGTTTTGCTACGAAGATCTTTATTTCCTCCATTTCTTACCAGCATTAGCAAGTTTTATATAACATGGAAGTCTGTAGAATATCATTTTGAAAAGAAGCTACAGAATATGGCGTTTCAAGATAGTAACATACACACAGAAGAATCACCATTATATCCGAATGCACATTGGTAAACCAAAACCATTAACGAGATTTTGCTACTGAATGTTAACATTTCTTGGAACATAACCTCAATGGAATACAGAAAGATCACTGAATATCTTCAGCCAAACAGCGTGCATGCATATGACATTGGTAAATGGTACAATACAATTGTAGAGAAACAAACTACACATTTTTATCAATGTTTTCCAAAACTCATCATTTGAATGCTCATAGTAAAAACTCGGAAGCAGTTTCCACTGTGAACGGAAGTTCCTTTAATTAATACTGTGATACGGAAGTATCACAATGAAGCTGGGAATAAATAAAGAATGGATTGGTTTTCATTGTAAATCGCTTACAAATTGAATATTTTCATTAAAAATCTTTGATCTATACAAGAATTCTCATTGACTTCTCCTTTCTCTTAATCATAAATAAGTTATTCCGAATCATCAGAACAACTAGGCAAATTCCAATCATCCATTTCACCGATTAAACGTATTGGTGCTTTTACATTGAATAAAGATGATGGTGTTGGCGGTAATGCCATACAACTACGTCGATGTTGACGTAAATGTTCGCTATTGACAATATTTCCGAACTCCATGAAATGTTGTTGTTTTTGTTGTATCTACATTGAAAGTAAACAAAAAATGAGAAAAGGAGTTTCAGACAGTGTCCACTTATCAAAGAAAACGCAAAACTTACAATCATGAGGGAAGTTCATTCATCAGGTGGGTGATAAATCCAAAACTACAGCTTAGACTCTTCAAAATAACTAAACTTTACAAGGCTATTCCAATCAACCAATACAGTGGACACTTCATTGAGATGTTGCCTGTTTGGAACTGAAATGGCCTAATACTGAGACTTTCATTGTCTTCCTAGGTAATTTCATGGGTAAACAATTTTGTTAATTGTGATCATTACGGAGCTTTCAAGTTACAACGGTTTACGAAGTTCCTTCTCATATAATACAGGATTTGTTGCAGATAAACAGATCGGACAGCGAGAAGACCACAACACTTCAAAATTAATGCCCCAAACACAAAAGAATACAAGACTGTCACTTACCTTCCTCTAAGTGAATTGTACTTAAAAATTAAACATCCTCCTGTTAAATTTAAGAAGAGTCTATCCACAAGATATTATTTAAGTCACTTAGTTCTACTTGTTTGTGTGACCATTTTGGTACATGTTCACACACCCTAATTTTGAAATCACGACTGCTCCTCCCTATGCATGTGTGACCACACAGACATATAAATTGGTAAAGACAGTGGGATGTGTCACAATCGTTTTCATGTCTTTCAAGTTTTGGATAAAGCGTGCACCTTGTCATTCATTTGATAACGACCCTTGCTGAGCATTACGTTTTGTTGATGGTTGATTTAAGCCTTTATGTCAATAAACGGCTATTTGGATCACCTCTAAATGGTAAGGTGATATAGACAGGCTTTTTTCAGCCAAGGCTACAGTATGTCTCACTGTACCATGAACTTTCCATTTATTTATGAATTTCAAAGAATAGCCATTTCCCATTCATCTTGTATCTAGCAACTTGACATTATCATCAATGGCGTCATATGTACAAATACGATAAAGCCAGATGAATAGGCACGCAGGTCACTTTGTTCAATATTTGCATATCTCTTAGATGTTGTCATTTGCAAAAAGTTTTTTGCACTTATTCCGTTATCATTGTGTAATTTGACTTGAATAGTATTGCTCGTGAAAATTTTGTAAGGACTAAATAATCTGTGGTGGTCGGTATTCGATATATCCCTTAAACTTCGTATACAATTCGTCTTGATAACCGTCCTATTTAACCCCAACGGTATATTATTCAGAAGGCGAATACGAAGCGTTGATTACGTTTATTTCGAGACCACACACACAGATGTCCAAAATTACAGATGCATTAAACGAGCATTAAGAGTTGTACCGAACGGCAAACAGGCAAGCGAGCGACTGAACGAATATAAGTAATCGAGTACAATCAAGCGAGCGAGAAAGCAGAGTCAGCCATATGAATAACATGGACGTATATATAGCATGTGAAATTAATGAGTAATCGAATCAAATAAGCGGTTAGTAGTGAGACTAGCAGAGTGAATAAATGCGTAGGCAGTAAGCAATATTCAAGCATGCGTATTTCATACAAGCACAAAATAATAATAAGGGTACAATAAATTGGTATAGTGTGGATGGCTTTGTCCGCTAAATAAGTTAGCAAAAAGGCTTAACTGAGTTAAATGAGAATAAACCCATTTGCACGTGAGTCGTTATAATAGCTCCCCCTTGCAAACAAAGATATATGGAAAATGTCTGTGTTTGCACAAAAAAAATAGTAGACTGAATAGGGTAGTTTCAATTGTTTAAAAAAATGGCTTATACAAAATTAAGATGAAGTAAGTGTATGCTGTACATTTGATTTGTGCCCCTCCGTGAGGTTACATAAAATAATAGCAAGAAATAGGACTGCGGTATTGCCTTTACATTTTAAACAAAAATTATACGCATAAATGTAAGGGAACATAAGATACGTTGAGTTTTATAGCGTATAACACGAGCTTAATAATGCATGTGTATACAATGAGGTAGAAGTTATAATTAATATTTAAAATAGTAGAAGATCATTAATAAAAAATCGTAGCGACATATTGTTGGGGCCATCTTACTCTGCGGCCGGATCTTGTTGTTATCGGAGTCTTGTCTTTTTGTTGCGTTAACGTCGTTGACTCTTGCGACTTATGTTTCGCTGGTGTGACCATCTTAGATGAGTCTGTACTTGTTGATTGATTATCGCTATCGATGAAAGCTGGCTTTACTCGATCGATGCTAATTACATCTGTCTTCCCAGCTTTTTCTATGGTAACCTTTTTATTTGTCCTCTCTATCACTTTAAATGGTCCGTCGTAACTCGGTTGAAGAGGTGGTTGTATTTTATCTCTTCTGATGAATACGTGAGAGCTGTTATGCAGTACCTGTGGTATGAATACTCGTCGTTGTTGTGGTGTTTTTTAAAAAAAAAAAAAATCGCTCATGTGCTTTCTCAGGCGTTGCACATAGCCGGTTACATCAGTCGGGACACGTTTACTTGAAGTGAAAAATTCTCCGGGTAATCGCAGAGTAGTTTCGTAAACTAATTCGGCTGGACAACATCCCATGTCTTGTTTAATTGTTGCTCTTAGAGCTAACATTACTAGGGAAAGTTTATTAGACCAATCGTTGTTAACGATGACGGCTGTAAGTGACGCTTTTAATTGCCTATGTAGGCGTTCGACCATTCCGTTTGCCATTGGATGGTACGATGTCGTTCGGATTCGTTTAATACCGAGGAGTTCTGTAAGCTGCTGAAAGAGTCGACTTTCGAATTGTGCTCCTCTATCAGTTGTGATAAACGTCGGTACACCGTAGTAAGAAATCCAATTTTCAACTAGGGTTTTGGCTACCGTTTCAGCTGAGGTGTCTTTTATCGGTACTGTTACTGGCCATCGTGTAAACCTGACGATGCATGTCAAGATATAGTTGTATCTATTTGAAACGGGCAGTGGTCCTACAATATCGATGTGTATATGTTCAAATCTAGTGTCTGGGTGTGAAAACGGACCTACTGCAGAGCTAGTATGACGATGTACCTTAACTTTTTGGCAATTCATGCATGCCTGTGTCCAATTACGTACATCGTGATTCATGTTTGTCCATACGAATCGTTCACTAATCAGCTTTATCGTGGCTTTTATTCCTGGGTGCGACATGTTATGCATGCTTTCGAATTTTTTCTCTCGCAACGTTTTCGGGATAAATGGTCGCGGTCGGCCTGTTGATGTATCGCAAATTATTTTCGTGTTACCAAACCGCACCTCTTCGAGTACTAATGATGTTGAACCACCGGATCTGAGTTTATTTAACTCGATGTCTCTCTCCTGCAACTTTGCTAGACCGTTATAATCAATTCCACTTGCCATAAGTGTGCTTATCGTTGCTCGTGACAATGCGTCAGCCACATCGTTTTCTTGTCCTTTAACGTACTGTATGTCGGACGTGAACTGTGAAATGAACTCTAGTTGTCGGATCTCTCTCGGGAAATAATTGTCTTGCTTTGCGCTTAATGCTTTCGTTAGTGGTTTGTAGTCTGTATAGACGGTAAAACTTATGCCTTCGACCATATGACGGAAGTGTTTTATTGCTAAGTAGATTGCTAATAATTCTCTTCCAAACGTACTATATCTCGTTTGGGTAGGATTTAATCTTTTCGAGAAAAATGAAAGTGGTTCCCATGCACCGTTTACTAACTGCTGCAAAACGGCTCCTACTGCTAAGTTCGATGCGTCTGTTATGACGGGTAATGGTGCTTCGTTCTTTCGTCGTACTAACATCATCTCTCGTTTAGCGCTCGCTTAGCGTTCTCAAAAGCCTGTATAGCATCCGCTGAAAGACGGAATGTTCGAGTATGTCCTCGCAAGGCGTCCGTCAATGGCTGTAATATTTTTGCGCAGTTTGGGATAAATCGTCTATAATAGTTTATTAGCCCCAAGAATCTTCGTAATTTTCTTTGTGAATCGGGCAACGGATAATTACGAATAGCAGCAACTTCTGTCGGAACTGGCATGATACCATGTGAATTTATCATATGACCTAGGAATTGCAATGATTCCTTTCCAAATTCACACTTTTCCACGTTAATAGTGACGCCATGTTCTTGAAGTTTCGTAAACAACTGTCGTAGATGTTGTAGATGTTCTTCCCTGGTAGAGCTAGCTACTAGTATATCATCGATATATGCGTGAACTCCTGTCAAACCCCTGACGACCTGATCGATGAATCTTTGGAAGGTTTGGGCTGCATTAGTTAATCCGAAGGGCATTCGCAAAAACTCGAATAACCCAAATGGAGTAGTTATAGCCGTTTTAGATATATCTTCTGCCGCTACGGGAATATGGTAATAAGCTCGAACGAGATCGATTTTCGAAAATATCGTGGCACCTTCCATATTGGTAGTAATGTCGTGGATATGTGGTATCGGATATCTGTCTGCTATCGTTTGCTTGTTAAGGGCTCTATAGTCTCCGCATGGTCTGATTTCCCCATTTTTCTTCGAAACCATATGCAATGGGGACGCCTAGCGACTATTAGAAGGTCTTATGATACCAAGCTTCGTCAACTTTTCGAACTCTCGTTTCGCGACATTCAACCTTTTCGGGTCTAGCCTTCGTGGTCTTGATTTAGTCGGTGGACCTTTCGTTATAATATGGTGCTGTACCGTATGTTTAAGATCTCTGTTATCGTATGATACCTTCGTCAGATCGGCATACTCGTTTAGAAGCGATCTATATGGCTCGCTTTTGTCTTTTGACACTACTAAATTCATGGATGCGTGATCAGTCGTCACTCCTCTTATCACTACTGAATGGTCGCCGTTCACGAGCCGGTTTCGTCGTGTATCCACTAGTAGGTCAAAATTCTTTAGGAAATCAATACCGATTATAGGTACGGATACATCTGCGATAATGAATTCCCAGCGGAATGAGGTAGTATAACCGAAATTCAAGGTTACTTTTCGCTTGCCATATGTTTTTATATCGGATTTATTTGCCGCCTTAAGCGTTAGCGCTGTATCGATATTTCGTGTTTCGTTACTTACTGGAGGCACGACGCTTACTTCTGCTCCCGTATCCACTAAGAATTGAGCGCCTGTTACTCTATCCTGCACGTAAAATAAACGACTGTTTCTAGGAGCTGTTGTAGTTGTTGCGGCGGTCATCGACAATCGGTGTGGTCGTTTGAATTTACATGGTGGTCTACAGTTTCGAGCTTTATCGCCGAAAGTTTGATGGTACCAACATATTGTAGGAGCTGAGCGTCTCCTAGAACGTGATCGACTTCTTTCCCTCGATCTACTTCGTGACCATCCTCTTTGCGTATCGCTCTGATTTAGTTTCGTCAGCTTGTGGCATAAAACATTAATCTCCTTTTGTAATGCATCGATTCGTTCATCTACTGTGGTACCATGTCTTTGCGGACTCGTTTGTTTCATTCTCTCATAAATCCTATCGGCTATTTTAGCAATGTTGTCTATATCGACATCGCTGTCCTCAACCGCAAGGATCTGCTGCACGTTCGCTGGAAGTCGTCGTAACCACAACTGATAAAATATGTTTTTATCTACTTTTCTGTCATCGATTATGCTTCTCATATAGCTTTTTAGTTGAGATGGAGTCCTATCTCCTATCTGCACTTGGCTGAGAAGTTGTTAGATGGCACTGCCTGTTTCAATGCGTCGTATGGCTTTTCTATGTCTGGCTTGATTAAAATCTCTCTTACATTATCTGCTACTTCGTCTGGAAGTAGCGAGCTCGCGTGGCCAAATTTATCTCGCTGTGTATGAACACGATCAGCTACAAAGTAATGTTCAAGTCTGATAAACCAAAGTTGAGGATCTGTGACCTTAAAAGGAGGAATAGTTACATTAATGGACCTCACGGACGGCGTTTGGGAAAGTTCTAGTGTATCGTTACTTAAAGACATATTTATAAAGATCAAAAAGTACACAAATATAATGCGAATGTCACAGAGAAAAGTGAGTCGATAAAAACAATGATAAAAACAAATGGTACAATTTATAACAGAGAACAGACTTACTAAATTGCACCAAAATATAAATTGTTTGTAAAATATCGTTGTTTATTATGAATATTATCGTTATGTTCTATAATGTTTGTAAGATAATGTACGTATAATTAAAATAATGAGATAATAAATCCACAGTTATAATTATAATCCAAATGATAGTTACAATTGTAATCGAGTACGTTGGATTTTAGTAATTGGATTATGTCGTTCAAGATTGTTTCGTGTTCGCGCGTCGGGATCGCCAATTATGTGGTGGTCGGTATTCGATATATCCCTTAAACTTCGTATACAATTCGTCTTGATAACCGTCCTATTTAACCCCAACGGTATATTATTCAGAAGGCGAATACGAAGCGTTGATTACGTTTATTTCGAGACCACACACACACAGATGTCCAAAATTACAGATGCATTAAACGAGCATTAAGTCAGTCAGTCAGTCAGTCAGCTACAACGTAGGACCAGGCACATATGTGCATCGGTCCAGGTTGCCATACCTCATTAGCACAACAAGATGAACACCGGATTCATAGGAGTGGTTAGGTCAAAGGTTGCAATAAGGATATAGTATAGGAAGGAAGAATTAGTTCGTAGAAAGAAAGATATGAAGTGATTTTAATCTCTTAGTTTAAGGGAAGACAGGGAGTGTATACACCGACGCCATTGTGATCGATTCTGAGCCATGTCACCAAGAGTCTCCAACCATTGGTTACGAAAGTCACGCGGACCCCAACCAAGTAGTCTGCATCTACCAACATGGCTAAGACTAGAAGTTAGTGACTTCAAGCACTGATGCCACGTTTTGGTTTGGCCGCCCCTAACTTTTTTCCAACCATCCCCTACACCGGTTAGCATTGCACGTCGTGGTAATCGGTGTTCAGGCATACGTAATACGTGGCCCAACCATCTCAGTCGATGAAGATTCATAACCTCATCAACTGATTTACCATCATTCCCTAATACCCTGCGTCTAACCTCACTATTACTTACCCGGTGATCCCAGCAGATGCCAGCAATATTTCTAAGGCATCTGTGGTCAAATACTAGTAGCTTACGGGTGTCTTCTACTCTTAAGGCCATGTTTCGCTGCCGTAAAGTAAGACAGAACGGACTGCCGCGCAGTATACTCGTCCTTTTATTGATAGACGGATATCTCGCCTCCGCCAAAGGTGACGTAAGTTGGCAAAAGCCAAGCGAGCTTTTCGAATCCGTGCTGAGATTTCGTCAGACACCAACCCATTAGGGCTGATCAGACTTCCAAGATAAGTGAAGTTGTCAACGCGTTCGACTACTTCACTCCCTATCCTTAGTTCAGGTGTTGACGCAGACCAGTCCTGAAGCAACAACTTGCATTTAGAGGGAGAGAAGCGCATCCCAAACATTCTGGCATTGTTGCTTAGTGCTACCAGAAGACTCTGCATTTTGTCAGCGTCTTCACCAAACAGGACTATGTCATCTGCGTATTCTAAGTCGATAAGTGGACCTCCTGGAAGGAGATCAATACCCGAGAATTCAGTCGACGAGAGTGTTATTTCCATCAATAGGTCTATGATGAAGTTAAACAAAAATGGAGAAAGTGGACAGCCTTGACGGACACCACTTGAGGTTGCAAAAGTAGATGACAGTTCGCCATAAGCCCTGACTCGACTAGTAGTGTTCGAGTAAAGAGCCTTCACAAGGTTTATGTACTTCTGAGGTACGCCTTTCAATGACAGACACTGCCACAGAGTCTCGCGGTCTACAGAGTCAAATGCTGCTTTTAAGTCAAGAAAGACCACCATCGTCGGACGCCGATAGGTATGCCTGTGTTCTAGAACCTGACGAATGGTGAATATGTGGTCGATGCAGCCACGACCAGGTCTAAAGCCAGCTTGGTTCTCTCGTGTTTGTAGTTCACGAGTCTTAGTTAGGCGTCTGATAATTATCGAGGCCAGTATTTTAGATACTATGTTTGTTAAACTAATCCCTCTGTGGTTGTCACAGGATGATTTTGACCCTTTCTTATATATTGGGACGATAAGTGATTGCGACCAGTCAGATGGGATAAAGTCTAATTCCCAGATCTTAGCTAAAATATTAGTCAACCTAATCGCTAAAATTGGACCACCATCCTTAAAGACCTCTGGAGCCAATCCATCTGGACCAGCTGCCCTTCCTCGTTTCAGATTAACTATAGCTTTTTGAACTTCAGCAAGAGTTGGGGGACCTACTTCAATGTTCCATTCACATTGTCTGGGAATGGAGGGTAGTTGTAGAGTAGCTGAAGGCCAGCTGAACTGTTCTCTAAAATGTTCCGCCCATCGTTCTAAACGTCTGGACTGGGAGCAGATGAGAGTATTATCTTTTTCCGAAATAATCTCACTTACACTTGACTTATTAATTCCAGTTTCTTTTATTAGTCTGTAAAGCTGTCTTGTGTTCCCTATAGTCGCCGCCTTTTCCATCTCTTTTGCTTTCGTTACCCACCACTGCTCACGGTCGTTCCTTAGACTTTTTCTTAACCTAGATCTGATTTGTTTTCGCTCTTCATCATGTTCAGAACCTGATGGGACGAGTTTGCGAGAATCCATCAGTGTGACAGACCTTGAAGAAATCCACTGGTTCCTTGCAACTCTGTGGTTTAAGTCACTAATAGATGTCACTGCTGTTTCCACAGCTGATTGTATGCCCTTCCAAGCAACATCTGGGTCAGCCTCGTCTTCACAACTACCTAAGTGTGACCTCAGTTGTTCCTGGAACCTACTTTTGGTTTTCTCGTTACTCAACTCAGTTCTAACGGGTCTTTTTAATGTGGCTTTTTTGCGTCCAGTGAGGCGCAAGCAGATGCGTGCCCGTATTAGGGCATGGTCGGAGTCCAAGCAGGTACTCCAGAATGAGCGACAATCTTCTACCGACCCTCTCCAACGATGACTGATGGCAATATGGTCTATTTGAGTCCATCGTTGGTTTGGTGTAGGGGGTCGCCATGTTAGACGATGTCTCTCCTTATGCTTAAAATTTGTGTTTGCTAAAAATAAACGATTGTCTGAGCATAGCTGCAGCAGACGATCACCATTATCTGTTCGCTGTGTCGGAATACTAAAATATCCACCTAAATGCCTTTCTGTTTGGTTTAAGCTACCTATCTGAGCATTAAAATCACCTGCTACGAGTACTATGTCTGAGCGTTTAGCTTTCTGAAGAAGTTCAGAAAGCTTTCTGTAAAATTCATCTTTCACTTCATCTGAGCTGCAGTCAGTGGGAGCGTAGGCAGAAACGACAAAAAGGCAACGACGTGTGTCCCTATCCTTCCGAGTTCTTACGCAGCCGTTCAGCCGAACAGCACATAGACGACTGTTGACGGGGATCCACTCTAGCAGTGCTTGTTCGGCCCTCATGCTTAGTGCTATGCCTACACCTGCCAGTCCACGAGAACTGGCCATCGGGTCACCAGATACACGAAGGGTGTATCTCGTTGGCTCTCCGTTCTGCCGAGGTGAGGTCAAGTGAATGACCACACTGGGATCCTGTATGCGTGTTTCAGAGACACAGCATACATCAATGGAAAGAGACTCTAGGGTTTTAGCCAAGGAAGCCTGTTGACCGATTTGACATAGAGTGCGTACGTTGAAAGCTCCAATGTGTAGTTTGGAGCGAGGTTTCAGTAGACCTGGGACAGAGTTTTGAGCACTAGAATCGTTGGCTATGGTGACACTTGAGGAGGAAGCCAAAGGAGGAAGTTTAGGGTTGAAAGTCGATGTAGGAGGAATAATAGGAATTGAAGAGGAAGGTTGATTATGAATACAGTGGTCTTGGGTGCTGTTAGAGGTATGAGGGCGGTTATCACTTCCCGGTTGCCCACACCGTGGAAGGGTTCTTCTGGAGGTACCTGAAAAGGAAATTGGATTAGAGGTGGTCTCAGTGACCTGAGAGCGTGACCGCAGTGCCCAAGGGACAACTGCTTGAGGCCGGTCGCGCACGGCCTTTTCGTGGAAGGTTTTCGACGTGTTAGCTCCGTTCTTCAAAGGGCCTTACCGCCGGAGACGGAGATCCGTGAGGTAAGGTGAGGTGTGCATTTTTAGGGTCGACCTTTTCTAACCCCACCCCTCCTTGTGGGAAGGCAGCATCGCTGTCATGCTGGTTGTCTGAAGGAAACACCTTACTGCTGTCACACCTCTGTACAGTCAGCAGTACGACTTCGCCTTCGGACCTTGGGTTTGTTGCTTTTAGTCTTACCGCTCTTCAACCGACCTGTCTGACATGGTAGGACCTTGAGGAACGGTTGTTCCAGCCAGTATAGCTCGGTTGCTTCATCACGATAGGCAAGCCCGACCACCATGTCAAGGTAGCAACAACGGTCGGGAACGAGCATTAAGAGTTGTACCGAACGGCAAACAGGCAAGCGAGCGACTGAACGAATATAAGTAATCGAGTACAATCAAGCGAGCGAGAAAGCAGAGTCAGCCATATGAATAACATGGACGTATATATAGCATGTGAAATTAATGAGTAATCGAATCAAATAAGCGGTTAGTGGTGAGACTAGCAGAGTGAATAAATGCGTAGGCAGTAAGCAATATTCAAGCATGCGTATTTCATACAAGCACAAAATAATAATAAGGGTACAATAAATTGGTATAGTGTGGATGGCTTTGTCCGCTAAATAAGTTAGCAAAAAGGGCTTAACTGAGTTAAATGAGAATAAACCCATTTGCACGTGAGTCGCTATAAATCTTCTTTCCACCATTATCTCAAAGCAAAGCATCACATTTAATTTGAATAAAACTAGACGAGTTGAAGTAAGTGCCTAGGAAAATGGAAATCTAACAGTTACCATTAGAATGAATACTTCTAAAAGAGCATGATCTAGCTCTAACAAAACCTAATTGGATTATACATGGAAGGCATACAAAATTCCTTCAGCTTAATATATATTATGCTTTTTACAAAATAGTTCACCATTGAAAATACACAAATATGCGTTAGACTACTTATCAATTTAGTAAATAACACAATGTTAAGTTTGTATATAAAAAGAAATCAATGAATTGTTGACTTACCATTGTTGTCGATGTTAACAGTGAGGTCGGTAAATTAGTTCTAGGCAAATCCACTGTTTCATATAATGAATCGATTGAACCGAAATTTCTCTTACTACTATCATTATTATTATTAGTAGTAGTAGTGGCAGTAATAATGTGGCTTTTATTAAAATGTTGCATATGATTATTATTATTATTAGACCATAATGGTGGTAATGGTGGATGAGATTTGTATAATAATTGATGATTAGAATCCCTGTTTTCCTCTTCTTGTAATGATGATTCCATTGATATTTCTTGATAATTTATATTACGATTTAAATCATAATAATGATTGCTAATCATTGCATCAGATAATGGGCGTGAATCAGAATCACCTACGAGAATGATTTTGTTTTAGAAAGAAGGATAAAGAAGGAAAAAATAAGGAAAAATAATGAATAGCGTTCATAGTAGATGTTGAAGAGATGAAGAGTAGTCCTCGATAAAAGTCCACAGAGGCCTTGTGAACACTGGAAAACCTTTTTATCTAATCAGCATTCAATAGGATTGTCTCACAGACATCTTGATCGTGAAATGTCACTTGTCACATTTCCCATTGGATGACTGCCTCTAGTGTTACCACGTTTAGTAGGATTTTAGTACCTGTCAGAAGCCCAAGTTCATCTGAAATGCTTCAGATACCTTCAATTTCCTGTACAATAACTAACCTTGGAGTTAAGCATTCTTTCTACATTTTGCAGCATTTCTCTCATTCTCAAGTTGTTGTGTTGATTAGGCTTGGGGTTATTACAGGAGTTTAAGCAATCAAGAAAAATAACTCAATTATTCAACAGTTTTACACTGTACATATCAAGCTATTGTTGCATAATATGTTATCGGCCAAATAAATCTAGTGATCAGGCGTTCACTGAAAGTAATAAGTTAGATAGTTTGTTGAATTATGAGTCTGTACAGACAAAGAAACCTAACCCAGGACGAAACAGCTAATCACTATTCTCTGACTACTATTGCATGTCAAACTAATATTATTTCGTCATTACTACAGATTATATTATCTGATAAATGTGTTTATCAAACTATGGAATGAGACAATTACCTTTCATTGTATTGATTCTACGTTGGACTTCGTGATCTGATGACAACAATGCTGATGCAACTGTTAGTGTTCCAGCTACAAGTTTGTTATCTGTATTCAACGGATTACGGTCAGAATCAATTGAATATGGTTGTTTTCCAGTAATTTTATTCAGTGTAAATCGGTTATTTTTCTTATCATACGAACGTGTTTCATCATAAGTTACATAATCAATATTATTTGGGTTTTTCACTCGAGGTATAGCAACAATGTCATCACTGTTAGAAACAAATGCTGTAGCAGTAGGAATTGAAATGTTGGTTGTAGAAGTAGTAGTAGTAATAGTAGTACAAATATTGGTAATAACCGTTGTAACATCTATTGCAGGATTATTATTCATTGAATTAGTTTCAATAGGTGATACAGTTTGTGATGTGATCAAGTGTAATGAACTATATTGATCAGATTTTCGACTTTTTATTGAATTTTCTGACACTTTAGAAAGATCAGAATCATCAGCGAATACTAATGAACTAATTGCTGAACTTGTTCCACTATGATCTGCACGATGTTGATCACATTCTAAGAAGAAAATGCAATTATAAACAGAAATCAATGACAAATGACAATCATGAAAGTTGACACAATACTAGACTGTGTGTAGTGAACGAAGAATTCAGGTTGAGCAGACCAATCTATTGTTTGATGTGATATTAGAGTGTGCCTTTTTATAATATGAAAACCATACATAAAGTAAACTACTTGCACATCCTCCTTTAGTTGTCTTCCTTATGATTTATGATTGTTTCAATTCTATTGCTATTACAATTGCTCTCTGTTTACATTCCTGTTCACTTAAATTCGATCTTCTCAATCTTCTGCTGCCAGGCATTACACTTCTGATTGGTGTTACATACTGCCACATGAATTCTATTTGGCTGAACAATTAACTTTAATTCCCACCAACATCAATTTACGAATTCATCAAGATCATCATTATCACCGATGATAGTAATAATAAAGGATACTTTCATTGGAACAACTAAAGGTTTTCCTTGTATACACTGACAAAACTGTTATCTCATGAAATTTGTTATTCATGTGGATTTTGAAAGCCGATCCACTGAATATTTTTCCTAATATAATACCTGAACTGATTAGTTGTGGATTAAACTAAGTAGATAACTACAGTTACATTAATTCAGTTTTTGTACTGGTTGTTCGAATCTTCCCAATAATGCTGAGGATTGTGATTAATCTATCTGTCTTATTGGCATCCTGTCTGTGAGGATAGCCTCAATATTGCCAATAAGTCACAAGCATGGTAAATAGAGATGGATGGTGGCTAGCGATGCAAACCAGGACACACGTTCCGTCGAATCATGAGACTCGTCAGCTGAATGTACTAATTACATTGTAATAAGCCGCATCTTTCTATTAACTTGAATTAGTCTAAGCTTTGTACAGTTTGTCTTTACTGAACAACTTACTAATCATCGAACTCTGTAATTTCTTTCTAATTCTATAATCTATTTAAATAAAAGACGATTGTATATTGGGACATTCGATAACGTGTGAAACGACGAAATAGTCAAAAATCTTAACGTTTAACAGCTACCGCACTTGAGAAAAGAAACCAAATATATGAGATGGTAGTTAGAGTTAGTCGACCGTGAACCCTGGGTTCATGCTTCATGCAATCTTCACGGAACTGATGCTCCCTGACCGACTCGATCCCGTGTCACCCGGTTTCATAGTCACTGAGCTATCCAGGGCGTGACTAATCCTCCTCTTTTATAATTGACTGATTACTGGTTGGTAAGTTATCAAGGTGAACTGGATCAGGTCCTCCTTAGTGCAGATCGAATTCTATCTATGACATTGATCACTACCCAATGATCAACCAAATGATTTAGATCTTGTCAAAATTAGGTAATTCATTATAATTTTATAAACTGACTAACAGTTGTCATTTAATGACTTGGAAGAAAAATAATTTACATATTATGTAAAACCATACGCTGTTGAGATTTAGTATTGATGATAAGTGAATGAAAATTAAGAAGCGTTACCTTGTGTACTAAATTTTCAACTGAGTTAACTTCAGAAAAATTCACTGAAACAAATTTTCATTGAAATCATGAATCGACGATCAATGTTGGACAACCATTGAAAATCTGAAAGCATTGGATGCCCATTTCGTCCTCGTATGAAACTATTCAGCAGAGAATATTCACGATCCCACGCTTAGGACTGTGCTCCAGGACCTTCGGTCTCGCGCGAGAACGCCTAACCTCTAGACCACAGATACTGAGCTCAACCGTATTTCACTTCTACAGCATTAATAAAACGTGTATTTCAGTTTGCAAATTTACCAGTTAATTTTGAGGTTTAGAAACTGTCGACTGAATTCCATAGGTTTATAACTGCGGTAACTACTAAAGAGTCAGTTTTTCAAGACATTAACCTAAAACAACACTTCACGATGCTAACTGTATACAAAAAAACAAAATAACATAAGTTCAGTACTTTAAAGTCTATCATAGTTGATTCAGTTTTAGGCGAATGAATTTTAATTCGACTGAGGATTATGATCACATACACTTTGCAAACTTGGAATTAAATAACTGGACGTTTTTTTAATTCGGTTGGGCAATAAATTGTTTTATCTAATTAATATCAATGACTGGCTACGCCTGGAATCCCTCCAGTCCCAATCCCTCACAAAACAAGGAGGGTTGGGGATGTGATTAGCAACCTTATCCAGTAGAAAACTAACGCGCTAAAAAATCGCTAATATCAATGACTAGTTTATATCACAGAATGACTTTTCTACTAAGCACCTATTAAAAACGAGGAATTATTTGATAGCCATTTTATCTTAAAGCCCTTCAACAAAACTCGATCACGAGTATTCCGGAGATCATGCTGGTTCTCAATTATTCAGTAGTCTAAATCCAGGATGAAACAGTTATGCCAGTATTGTTTGTACTTTTCAGTAATCGGCTATTCTATGGTGGAAGCCACAAAAATTGTACAATCTCAACAAAATATTCCATATATTAATCATACACGTTTAGAGTATACTGTCATTTCTATTTTTAGCATCATCTTATGCAACTTACTATTCAATTTGATTAAATCACCATTTTCATTCACTGCTCTATCGAGATCCATATCATTATAATGATCAAAGAGATTGACTTTCTGTGTATTTATCAAATTTTCCGGTTGTTTTTCTTGTTGTTGTCTCCGTTTCAATGAAACAGGTTCCAAATACGGATCAGTTGTTAGATATGGTAAATGATTTAATTCATCTTTTTCAATATAATCAAATTTATTATAATTTAATGAACTATTGTACATTGAATTCGGTACTGTTTGTTTTACTGTCACTGAAGTAGAATTTAATTTAGCCAATGGATCATTCTTTACAATATTATTATTATTATTACTACTACTAGTACACCCATTGTTATTGTTGCATAAATCAATCAATTCTGTGGATAGTAAGGAATCTATTCGACTACTACCTTGTAAACTAGTTTTTGTTGTGTGACGTGATAACATATCATTGATGGTAGTGTGTTCATCTCCACTGCTATACATAGTATGATGATTTTGATGTTGATAAGCATCTTGATGAAATAATGATGGTTTTACTGTTTGAGTACTCCACATATTCTCGATATAATTATGTTTTCTGTGTAAATCCTTCGATTCTGTTAGTGGAATGAAGAGAGAAGAGGGACAAAACATAAAATGAAAAGATAAAACTTGTGCTTGTTCTGAAAACAAGAAAATGATCGAATTTTGTAGTTTAAGACAAGTACTGACATGAGTAAAACATCCAATGAAAACAAGGAAACACTGGAGAAACAGATGTTCTTTTTTGTATGTGACAACTAAACAGTGAGGCTATAGGATCCCAGGAGCCTGAGGTCTTGCGTTGAGCATCTAATCAACTTCAATTTATAAACGATATAAATTGATGGTAGTCATCATAAAGAGAACTGGGGCGTCTCTACAGTGGACATATCCTTGACAGGATAATGTGAACTACTTCAAACGTACCGTAAGGCTTCAGCTAAATCCTTTTAATTTGAGATAAACTATACAATATGGGTCCTAAACAAACACACTGACTGGTTGTTTATTTCGTTACTGACTCACTGCTATTGGTTTTACTTAATCTAATTAATCAGTTCCAATGATTGTTTATGTTATGATAATAACCACAAGTTGTATTTAACCTGTTTTAGAAATACTGTTGGCTAAGACTATGCACCACATTTTCGGCCACATAAAACCTAAGTATTCAGATTTGATAAATTTTATGCGACCAATAATATGTGATTTACCAATCAAGGAAGTTCAGTGCATATCGTTTACACTTTCTGGGTCATTTCACGTCATTCAATTCCAATCGCTCCTCTTGGGAAAGCAAATAATTCGACACCATTTCAATGAGATAATTATTAGAAAGTAGAGAGTGTTGAATAATTATTTCATCCTAATATGTAACCCCTCAGTAGTGTGCATCCATGATCCAGTTGCAAATGAAAGCCAAGACATTCAGATCTCGCAGCCGGTGGCTAACCACCACACAACCTCGTCGGAATCTAGTTATTTACCTCACCTAACGACTCCTAAGCGACCATATAATAATTATTATTATTAGTTCATTATATAATCCATGAGATTCAATAATCTGTCTAAACCTTCTACAGCAATAATTAAACATGAATTGAAAATGCAGGTCAATCAACATTGAACGTAAGGGGGATAACTTTAATAGTTATTATATGACTATTTGCAAGTAGTGTGAAATTTTAACCGAAAATATTAAGGAAAACTATGTTACCTACCTGACATTGATTGCAAAGCTGGTTGCATCAACGGATGAGTAACATGACGACCATTTAATCGAAATGAATCAAAATGTTGTTTATTGACCGGATAATGACTGGTCAATGGTACAATATTACCACTATTATTATTATTATTTGATGTAGTCAAATAGTTAAATGTAGGTAATACTGGCATTGATGGCATCATCTCTGTACGTGATGTATTGAATGATGAAGACCTTAAAGATGATTTTTTATAAGATAATCCATAACCATTACCATTATTGTTATTATGATATCTTGGTGGTGTAAATGATCCGTTACTTTGATTAAAACTACGAAAAAATGATGATAATCGTCGAATACCATTACTAAAACTATTTCTACTTGGTGGTGTAAATTTCCATGGTAAATCATTATCATTCACATTGATCCATGAAATAGATTGTATATTCGAATTAGTCTTGGGATAAATAGACGGTGATGTATTGTCTCCATTACTATTATTATTATTATTTGGCAAATTCATAGGATACTTTGTATAAATTGGTGAATTCGCTTGATCATCATTTGCGTATAAAGCGCTAACTATCCCGGAATTACTACCGTTGTCTGTTGTCGTGATCAACGTCTTTGTACTTTGTCGTGTTCTTTCACTGCCAGATCTTCCCGATCTTAAAAAAATATGATTTGAGTATGGATGTTGATGAATCAATTCTTCCTTGTTTGATAACGTTGATGTTGGTGATGGCGATGATGATATAGGTATCGCAGGTAATGATGGTTCAGCAGTTGTACCAAATCTTGAAACATGATCATTGACCAATAGTCCACTATTATTTGATGATGTCATTAAATGACGATTATTTGGTAGTTGTGGAGTGGATTTCCCTAAGAAACTACCAGATGATTCTAAAAGACCACGTTGAGATAATGATTGAATTTCCTGACGTCTTTGTAACTGTGTATATAATCGACGTTTTTTTCGCATACTTCTACGCCATGGTAACCACCATGAACGTGGCATACCATTCGGTGGATTCAATGACGAAAATAGAATTGTTTCACTAGATGCTCCAAATCTTGAATGGTTATTATTCTTATTAGTATTAGTAGTACTATTAGTATGATTAGCATTATGATTAAAGGAAGAGGGAGCACCATTATTGCTGCTAATATGAGATGTGGAATTTGTCCGTAGCCATGGTAATGAGTTCATAATCTGTCGACGATCTGAACTCGGTGTATTTGGTACCAATGTTAATGCTGAAATAGCAGTAGGAGTTTTTTGATTTCTTTTCATAAAAGAATTACGCCATGGTGGTAAATGACCATCTGTAATAAAGTCAATATTCGACGGTTTCCTATTCACACCTGAAACAGTTGATGAATGAAGTGAAAATGTTTGTTGTTGTTGTTGTTGTGCTGTATTCAGAAAATCTGGGAAACTTTCATTGATTGTATTATGACTCAATAAATGTGGATAAGATTTGAAGAGATTTCCATTGTTGAAAATTGTGTGATTATGGTTGCTGTTGTTGTTACTATTATTATGAAATGACATGAGAGATTTTTTACATGTTGGAAATAATAAAGTATCTTTAGATCTACTAAATGTTCCCAATGTACAGGAACCAAGACGATTCGACGATGAAATTGCAGCTAGATCAATAGTTTTATGATAATGTTCAAATAATCTAGAATGAAAAATACGATGAAGGATAATCTAAACGATTCTATATTAAAATGTATAATGTGCATACGAAAACAGACTGGGAATAAAGTAGAGAAGATTAATTTAACACTTGATATCAATCGAGTAATTTATTAGCGATTATTGATTTGTATTGTGTTAGTAGGCGGAGACTGTTCGAGTTAGTTGAAGACAGTCAATAGGAAATCTTCTTTGACCTACAGGTAATGTGTTATATGACACTCACTAGTAAGGCATATATGTAGTCTTTGTAGGAAACTGATATAACTTGTGGGATTTAAACCAACTTCATAGTTAACAGAATCCCATCAACATTATAAGATTGCGCAAATGCGATATTGGCTGCTGCTTAACAATCAGTCAGTTGTAAGCTGAATAAAGCTTAGTTAGGGTCAATAAGACAACCGTAACTAATGGTTATAGACATCAAGCGTCATGACATGAAATTGACTGCAGTGCCGCGAATATTTATGACCTCTGTCATTTTTCGTATTGCTTTTTCATCAGATCCCCACTTACTTCTTCAGCTGTATCCTACAACACTTGTGCTTTGCTTACCAACAATCATATGATTGATAGTTTGGTAAATTTTGCTATTCATAGTGATAATCGTATTTGACTATGATAAAGTAAATGAACATTTAATAGCACAGAAATTGTTGATAGAAATTCATCACTACCTAGGAAATAGCTAACAAGTATATTTCTTGCAGTCGGTATTTAATGGAATCTTCTCGGGAAGTTCTGCAAAAACAATGCATTATGCATCATATCTTGGTTGGATGATTACCGACCTAGAAGCTCCCAAGATATTATCGTCATATATAAACCACAGAATTTAACTGTTCATTCGACACCTCTCACTTTTTGGATTCTGTTTAAGTGATAAGTGTACGGCATTTTATGTAAAAGGACTAGAAAGAGTTTGGACAAATCAACCATTATACAGCGTTACATCCCACATCAATACACAAATATATATAATAGAAAACTTTAACTTACTTATGCCTTAGACTATAAACAACAAGAAGAGTGGCCAAAAGGAATATTAATATTCCAAGTATAGAGCCTAAGGCAACTAAAAATAAAGATAAAAGAGCTTTTATAAATATACATTTCAAAGAAATAGAAATATTTCCTGTTCAAATATTCAGTGGACAAAAACAAACAAACAAACATGCACTACGAACTATCAGACTGTAAACCGCAAATTCAGAACATGTTCTCTTAATTCATCAAACAAAATCTTATTGAAGTATCAAATAGCTGTGATACATTTAGAGTATGTGTTGAAGTGAAGTACAAAAATATGTACTTGACGAAAACAAGATAGATTGGATGCATAAATATACTTTTGTAAAAAATATAATACAATGAAGTATAAATAACTCGTCGGTAAATCTCTACAGATACACATGATTGATTTTAAAAAACTGACCATACACGGCATCATTCACAGAACATAAAAACGATGACATTGACATTCAAATTAACTGGAAATACTTTACGAATTATTACAGAAGAAAAACATAAGGGTCTGTAGAGTATATGAAAGAATAAAGTATTTCAATTATAGTCAGATTCAATAGAGATGCAAGAAGAAGGACTATCAAAGATGGTTCAAAACTGATGGAACGTAGGATTTAGATATAAAGGGGAGCATTCATTATTTGAAAAATCTTCATTCACAATATTGATTAACTAAAATCATGTATATACACATATATCCTGTAGGACAGTATTGTAAAGAGATGTGTGTTACTCATGAAACATCCTATTCTACCTACGGACTTCGTTTTCACTCTACACGATTCAGATTTGTTTGCGAATTAATATCATGAAAGCACCAAATAGTGCGGTTAATCAATCTGTCGATCGTATCAAAATAAGCGACGTATATGCATTCAACTTTTTCAAAGATGAAAAATGATTACATCAAATACAATGTTAAAAGTTTGACAAATAATGCATTCCTTAGGTGAACACGCCAATGAGACTATGCTAAAATAAAGGAGTATCTCTGCTCTAAGGAATAAATGAGTTTAAACTTTGTATGCTTATAGTAGTATAAAACATAAAACGTAATTAAGTCAAAATACATTAGGCACTAAAGAATAGTAATAATGCAAGCATAAAAATGTCATGTCTTGGACGTTAAATTCATTCAGTGAAAAGAGACATATATGTTTGTATATAGCTATGTAATATATACATGCCCTGGTACAGCCGAGACTGATATCAGTTCCTGATAATAATAACTTGAACTACTAACTGTATAGATAATTAATTAACATTTGCATAGACAAGTAAATAAATAAATATAGAAGAAGAAGCAACAGATCGTATTAGAAACATTGGATGAGGAAAACTTGTCCAAATACAAATTCCTGCTTGTTATTATTATTCACAGAATTCTAGTAACCATAATAATTAATAATAGCAATAATAAACTCATTTCGATAAGGTTAACATTACACAGGTACAAAGAGTTATGCACATTAATTACAAGCATTCTATAAAGGAAACACTGAAGAACACAATTTAAGCATAAACAAACATAATACATGCTGAATAACAAGATCATTTATAGAATCAGTTAGAACATTTAACATTATAAAGATTGTCATTGTTATCTTTATTGTTATCAGAGTCATTATTATTATTACCCCACAGAATCTCGAGGAGAAACTTTTGTCAACTTTTATGAATATTATCGTTACATGCACATTCACACAGACGAACACACATGTACAATCCAACATGGAAATTACCTACAGACACATTGAAAGTGATTTACCAATATGAACTTACCATCCTATCATGATAAGTTATTTTACTTCAAAAAGAAAGATATTAATGGGGTTATTATTATTAGTAGTATAGTTGAGAAGTAGAGAGCAAACAGAATTTCAGGCCAAAGTAGAAAACACTATCGTGAATTCGTTGAATTTCGATATGTCGTATGCTCTTAAGCCCCTAGGTACGATACCCGGGTATGTTGTTAATACGCAATTGGAATGGAACAGTTATTTAGTGCTCCTTACTGTGAATGATTGTCTAACCACAGTTATTATTCGTCATGTATACTATAAAAATCTCAACAATCTTCACGAACACCTTACACTAATGAAAAGTAATTTTTGGAGAAACAAACACTTTGCACTGCCTGAAAGAAACCATGTACGCGGATTTTATAAATCCATCATTCAACTACGAAGTAATGTTGCTTCAACGTGATGTAGATAGACTACAAATTTTACAATAAAAGAAAATGTAGTGATGGGTGGTTGGGTGGTAGCACTGATTAGTTTATCGAAAATGACCAATTACACTAGTAATGGTTGGTTATTAATTGGTGGTAATGATGTTATGATTATCTAAGGATTTCGGTCAAGTTCTTAGCTCAATTGAACTACTTCATTGACATGAAGTTATTGTTGTTTGATTGAAGAAATTGCAAAGACTATTTTTTAATTGTTTTATAGTAGTCATTATAAATAGACATTACTAACGATTTGAATGTGAATGTATTCTGTTGAAAAGTTTCTGACTACGACAAGACCATTATCATCCATTGCTTAGTGACTTTCAATCTCAACCGCTTACCCACCCCCAAATGAAATCAAAGTGTTGTCAGTTAACCGACAAAATAAAAATGTGATTTCAATAAAATAGATGAATTGTAGATAGCAGAAAAACTTAATGTATGCATTTCGTTCGATTCAGAGATAGCTAGTTAGCTACGTGTACCGGCATCCCAATATTGATTTTTATATTGAGACTGCAAAGCAGAAACCTCTTTCATTTCAAATATCCAATGTGCTGTGCACTCAACTATTTATTTCACTCATCAACGAACTAGTTTAAAATATCTGATGTTTATATTGTTATTAGTAAAGATTCTGATCATGGCTACATCAAGGTGATTAACACATGATGCACACATATATGCTAACAATAACTGATCAAAATACAATTGTGTATATTAATAACAGTATAATTCAAACAATTTACTGTTAATTAATTTAATTATTTGTCGTTTTATCACGCAATAACCATAATCGGAAATTGCTGTACACAGATAATTAGAAATGAAATGAGAATTTCATTGAAATCATGAACCGATCCAAGTTACACTATTATTTAAAACCTGAAAGCACTGAACGCCCGTCCCGTCCTACTATAGGACGCGACAGAAGTGCGAATCTACAATCCCGCACGTGTGATTCGAACTCAATGACGTTGGTCTCTCGAGGACGTTAAACCTCTGGACCACGGATTCCGCATCTAAAGATTTTAATGTTTAACTCCAATCGATCCAGGACATGGCGTGACCATCTTCCATTGTGATTGGTGTTTAACTGCATCACACTCAACACGACACAACTCCACCGATTACGGCTTATTACAAGAACTTCAGAAATTCCCTAGCACTAGTTAAAACATAATAATTATCAGTAAAGACTTGTAGAAATCCTTTCATGATTTCAATGAAATTCAATAATCCCTACAACCTCTTATTGACATAGCAAATATCATTTACTTTACATTCAATATTCAATATATACGTAGATTATTTTGTACTCACTTTTATTCCGTAATAAAAATACTCTTTATTTTAATCAGAATAAACTGACATATACCACACCATATCTACATACTAATATAAGAACATGAATATTCAATGTTCAAAAGACAAGCACCGAATTTTGTCTTCAATATTAATTCATTCATTTAAAACACAACATCGCTGTGTACATGTAAGAAAGCAAAGTGATACACATACACAATTACACATAAGATCATCATTCTACAGAAGTATCATCAGAATAAAACCAGATTCATTTTGTTTGTATTAGATAAGTAAATAAAATGTCTCAACATTTATGACATCAATAAATGTGTATTCTGCCAAAACTGAACTGCACAAATACTACTACTACCCACAGAATATTGAGATCGAGGGGAAAGTGTGTGTGTGCGTTTATATATACAGAGACGTGATTGTAGAAAAAATGGTGCAAAACACTGAAGTATTTTCATGAGATGTTTTTCTTTATTTCAGAAAATGTCTCAATAATGAGTCATTATTAACGGTCCATTGGAACGAAATTAATTGATAGTGGAGATAAGGTATTGAGATATACAAATTAGACAATAGACGACTTAGTCTACGTGTGCTTGTTAAACTAATTTTTGTCCTGTCTAAATCATGGTTTAAGGCTCACACATATTGTGACCTTGAAATAACGATGAAAAAATGAGCAATCGGCTTGATCAGCATTGTTATACATTTTGAAACACAGCCGTATAACTTCATTGGAACCATGTTATTCATTTAACGCGTTTTAGAAGTTACACCCAAAACAGTCCATCTGACTCCTTTAAGTAAGCAGAAGAAACAAGATATGTTTGAACAATCATACGTTTCGATCGAGATCATGAATCGACCAATATCAAACCGCCACTGAGAACCTGGAAACACTGAACGACTGTTTCGTCATAGCGTGTGACTTCTCAGCAGTAAGCATCCACGACCCCACACGCGGGATTCGAACCCAGCACTGTCGGTCTGGATTAGATCTGAACGTTTTTTGCAAAAGTCGGGTGAAATAACTGACTGGCTGCTCTAATCAAACAAGGTCATGAACGCTGTCCAAGAAAGTAATCCAATAACTGCAAGCCAAATGATTCAACGACATTAAACCACCGTTTCACTACAGTGTTACATAGCCATTTAAATATTAATAACTAAGTAGAAGTCAGATACTAATATTTCTAACTTAATTTAACACTTAGGAAATGTTTCTCAAATAAGAATTATTGCCAAAAATACATATGTCGGTGATCAATTTTCAAGTCGGGTCTTATATTCGGTCAATACAACACCATGGGGAAAATTTCAACCCCAGAAAAACCGAAAAGGTATTCGTAACATTTGCGTTTTTTTACACAAAGGTTAACCACGGCCCAGCAAATGAAATCTACTTAGATGAACATACAAACATTTGTAAAAACGATAAAAATCCAAAGGAATTCGTTATGGTTTGGTTCAAACTACTAATAAAAAGCTCAGTAGTGATTCAATTATTAATGAGTCCTAGTCAGAAGATGTGACTAATGCTGTTGCATGACAATAGTGCCAAATTGTAAATTGATTGGTGTTTGATACATGTATCAATAGACCCCAAAGCCAATGATCCAAACGGTTGTACATTCGTCATGATAACTGCTGGGCTGGGATTACATCTCTGGGTTTAGGGTTGTGAGTATGCACTCCTGAGAAATCTTAGACTAGTACGAAACAGCTGTCTTTCAATGCATGATTTTCAATGCTAGCCCAAATATGACTAATCTGAGACGAAAACTGCTGATAAAGTTAGCAATGCTATGAAAGTTAGCAATACTCTATGAATTCAGTCAACCAAACTAAAAAAAACATAAAAGAGTCGATATTGACAAGATAATCTCCACAGTAAGTTTATATAGTGACAGAGAATGATCAGTTCTAGCACTGAATATTAACAACAGGAGTTTACAAACCCTTACTTATAACTATATTTCTGTTGAATAATTTAGTAGCTTAATCGGTAACGGATTGACTATTGATAAGGAAAGTACTGGGTTTGAGTCTAATGTACATAACAGACTGAAATACAGGTATGCACAGCCGATGAGTCCCAAATAGAGAGAAACGCTCGCCCTACATCTAACTAGCATCAGTTCTCACTGCCAAAGAGTGTCATTTGTGTACGAAACACCTTTCTGTTGCTTCGCGGTTTTCAATGATAGTTGAACTACTATCAATTCCTGATGTGATTAATTCATTGTCAACAAATTTCACAAAATCTAAGGTAATAATAGTAAAAATAACCTATAATTATTTGAATAAATAAGACGAAGTATACTGTTTTTGGTATACACCAACAAACATCTTGAATTTAACAAAAATCGAATGGATTAATTGAACTGGATCTTGTGAAATCCCGTCCAAATGACTTTCAGACATGTTTTGAATAACATTGAATTTCATGAAAAAAAATAATTGAAGAGCTTTTGAATATATGTCTTACAAGTAATACAGTGTATTCCAAGTAAGGACCGGAGTCAGAAAAGGCTGTTTACTCTCTCCCTTCCTCTTTCTTCCTGTGGTCGACTGGATTATGAAGACCTCGACATCTGCGGGAAAACACGCCATACAATAGACTGCTCATAACCAATTACACGATTTGGACTTCGCAAATGACCTAGCCCTCATATCGCATACACACGAACAAGTGCAGATGAAGACAGCTAGTGTAGCAGCAGTCTCTGCATCAGTGGGCCTCAACATACACAATGGGAAAACCAAGGTCCTCAAATTCAAAAAGGAGAACAGCAATCCAATCACTCTTGATGGCGAAACTCTGGAAGATATGGAATCCTTCATGTACTTGGGAAGCATCATCGATCAACAAAAAGGATCAGATGCAGACGTAAAGGATTGGCAAAGCAAGGGTCGCATTCCTACAAGTGAAGAACATATGGAACTCAAAACAACTTTCAACCAATATCAAAGTCACAATCTTCAATACGAACGTCAAGACAGTTCTACTGTATGGAGCTAAAACTTGGAGAATAACAATAACCACAATCAAGAAGGTACAAGTATTCATAAATAGCTGTCTACGCAAGATACTCAACATCCATTGGCCGGATATCATCAGCAACAGCCTTTTGTGGGAGAGAAGAAACCAGCTTCTAGCTGAAGAAGAAATTAAGAAACAACGGTGGAAATTGATAGGACGTACACTACAAAAACCACCAAAATGCATCACGAGACAAGTGCTAACTTAGAATCCTGAAGGGAAGCGGAAAAGAGAAAGGTCAAAGAACACATTACGTTGGGAAATAAAAGCAGATATAAAAAGGATGAGGAACAACTGGAAAGAGCTAGAAACGATTGTTCAGGACACGGTTGGATGGAGAATGCTGGTGGGCGGCCTATGCTCGTCCACGAGGAGTAACTGGCGTAAGTAAGAAGTAGGTAAATGAGTTATAAGTAATATCTCCTTTTACAAAAAGTAGTTCAACTAAATAAATAATATTGTCACAATCTGGAAAACTCACAAATATGATAGAGCTCTTGGAGATTGTTGAACATCATTGAGATGACGAACCGACCTATGTTAGATTAAGACTGAAGCACTGGACGGGTATTTTATCTTAATATGGGACTCCACAGCAGTATTCATTTATGATCAAGCGTTACAGACGAACAAACTCAAGATCTTTAAGTCTCTCGGCAAGAACTTTACCTACAAACCAGCGACCAATGGTTTATATGTCAAATTTCAATAAGTTAGCGATAACGAATACCTTCATCCATTGCCAATAACTGTCATTCATCCCAAAAAGTTAAAATCCGCTTGTTCCAGCTTGTCGCAAGAAATCCCGGACGGCTTTAAGAAGTTATCAATGAGACCTCAATATCTTTGACTCTATAATCGATGAGGTTTCGGAATCGCATTGCTGAGGAGCAACAAAGTAGGACGGAATAGTTGTCCAGATATATATTTTTTCAGAAGGGGTTTTGTAGGGATTTTAGTAATTTCCATAATTGAAATCATGAGTCCGTTGAGGTTAAACCACCATGCAAAACCTGGAAGCACTGGATGGCTGTTTCGTCCCATTATAGGACTCTTCAGCAGTGCTCATCAACTCACTGAAGGCAATGATGATGGTGTCGCAATTTCGTGGATTGGTTGACATTACCACCGTTGGATGCCGGGTCAGTGGTCTAATGATTAGGCGCTCGAACGCAAGACTGATATGTCCTGGGTTCGACTTTCGAGAGGCGGGATCGTGGATGCGCACTGCTGAGGAGTCCCATACCGGGACGAAACGGCCGTCCAGTGCTTCTAAGTTTCCCATGGTGTTTTAGCTTCAATTGACTCGTGCTTTCAACTATTGAGAAAAATATCTGCTGTCAACTTTACAGTATCAAATAGTTCCTTTGTTAGAACTACTACGTTCAGTGATGCACTGCAGACAGTCGTTAAACTATTCTGACTTCTATGATCATAATAACAATATTCACTACTATAAATTATGCATCGGTAACAAATTCTCAGCATCAGTTGTGTAATATCACGATAAACTTCAGTAACCTGGACCTGTCGATTCATCTTGAATGATAAAAATTTTCTATCAGCTCAGATGCTGCAAACACTTTTTTTCATCAGATTTTCAATACATGAATTCCAATATACTTGTCTTTGTTCCTTTTTACTTATCAAAAGAATAACAATAAAGAGAACACTATACGAACAACTGGAGGAGCTTGATGCAACATTCCCAGTGTTGAAGTAAGTGATAAATTGTGTAAGCTATTCACACAACACCCCATTAGTACATACAGTTAGCATTTATATTTATATTCAATTCAAAAACAAATTTAAAAAATGAGGGTTTATTTTAATCAATCATGTATTCGTGTTCTATTCACGATTGACTTTGATTTCAGTAGTCAATCAGTAGTATCATTGATAGTTCTGATACAATGAAAGTGTTACTCGAAGATAATTATATAAAAAAGTGTATACTTTATAAAGAACTATCAACATTAGTTTCAAGTTACTTTTTCTTATCAAAGTATGCGTTAAGATCTGTTATTAATGTTTACTTATTCAATCTAATTACTGATAAACTTAGAAATCACTAACATTATGGTTCGTATATTTTCTTATACTTTGTCTGTTCTCTGACAAAGAAAAAAACAAAAAGAGGCGATTATTTTACGACTTATATATTTAATATGTATGTGTCATCAATCGAAAATGAAATGCCTGGTGGTAGAAGGTTAAGAAGATCGAAGAGAATGAAAACAGAGAATGATTGGTGTAGAAACGAAGGAACAATCAAGTCTGAAACGATTAATTGACACTTTGCAAATGACGGATTTACTGTATGCTTCTCAGATTTTACTGAGAGATTCTGTAATTTTATACTCAAATAAATTTAGTTATCCTCACTGAAGTTCTCGTTCACTACACATTTATTACAAGATAAAAAGATGCATCATATAGATAAAACTTTATCAACTTTTCCAGATGATTATGAAATGGTCGGTGACAAAATAGTTCTTTCTATACATAATTATCACAATATACACCATTTAGTTTACAGAGAGATCAATATGATGATTATTATTAGTTATTACTTCGGTGGCTATACTGCATGAATTCTTTGTATAAAAACATAATGATAAAGTGCTCAGATAAGATCACACTATTAGCATGAACGACACAAAATATTTAGATTCAGCAAAATTGCAACTAAGCAAATTAAAACAAATACCTTTCCATTACTGATATTCCATCTTATTATATTAAACTACTTATTAAGTTTTTCTCTTCAATCATATTACAATTAATGTTAACACGAGGGCAATCCAAATAATATATGAAACATCATATTAATGCATATATATATATATATATAATTGAATGGAAACAACTGTGTTCCTCTGGCTTGCTTTAATTACCTGATGAAAGATGCGTAACTTGATCATTATTATTGGCGGCTTTCAAATACAATGATGAATGTGTAGTATTTAATTCTGATTGGTCGATAGATGTCGAAGTCTTCAACATCATATCACTGCTATTGTTCATATCCGATTGATTACTATTCAAGGATAATTTTGTGTTTTTTTCAATTTCTTGTACATTTTTAGTGATCTGTGCTACAAATGTGGCAAGTTCATCAGCTATAAAGTAAATAAAATAGAATTAATGTTATTGTTTCTTTTTCTTTAAACAAATAATTGATATTTTTAATAGTTGAGATGATGAGACAATTAAAGCTAGACCACCATGGAAAACCTGGAAGCACTGGACAGCCGTTTCGTTCTGTTATAGGACTCGTTAGCGGTGCGCATCGGCAACTGCGCCTAACGAGATTCAAACCCAGGATCTATTGATCCCGCATGCAAACGCTTAACCTCTAGATCACTGAGCCGGCATCCATTGACAATTTAAAATAAACATTGAACTGACGAATTTTCTATTCAATCAGTTATCAATCAATGCGAGATTGTCTGCTCAACCTTCGTCTGACAAAAACCTATGCTTCCCCAAACTAATATCAATCTGAGACGAATTTAACCTAAAAATAAATATATCTTTCTAAAACTTATTCAGTTGAATTACAGTTAGAATTTATTATGAAAAAGATAAGTTTATCATGCTTTCCACTCTGTATTTATAGGTCAAGTTGAAAATGCTTAATATTAATTGCTTCTGGAAAAAAAATTAGAACTAAAGATTTCGTTATTTGTAAACTATTTGGAATACCTTAGCAACATAACTGTCTCATACCCGACACGGTTGAACTGCACTCGCCTCGAATTTTCACTAGAACTTCCACAAATTCCTCTCGAACTTGACCGTGATACCTGAAGGTACTTAGGCTCGATCCACGCTGAGATTGTTAGTACGCACTGCTGAGGAGTCTCATTCTAGCATGAAGCATCTGTACAATGAACCGTGTGCATTATTGTTATCCCCCAAATCCATGTTAATTCATGATAAATACCAAGAACAAACAAAATTATCATTTCTCTCTTTTCAATGTAACAATCATTTTAACTGGAACAATTATGTATTTATGTAATTTAAGCATCATAGCAAATTATTCATTGCAAATCACATGTATCATTATTATGATAGATATTTTCACTGAGTATTTCTTACTTGTCTATGCATATCTAGTTTCAATCACCCTCATTCACTCCCTCTCTCTCTTCTAACTCACTTGGTAATTATGATATTTATTTACAAGATATATATATTGGTCTGTACATAAATATACATTGGGGGGGGGCTGATATGTGCATGATGTACAATGAGAATTGACTAATGATTCTACTTGAATAACAATGAAAAAGCGAATTACATTTTATTTCACAATTGTTTTTGTAGTATAAATAAATAGACAAATAAAACAAGTACGCGTCTAAAGTCCAAATTAAAAAATGATTTTGTATCTAAAACAAGACAATGATATTTCGAAAAACAAAAAAATTATTGAGATAATGAACCTGATTTAAGTTAGATAGACATTGAAAATCTAATATCCAGAAAACACAGACTACCGCATACCACCCGGAAGGTAACGGCTTAGTGGAAGGAACAAAGAGAACCATCAAAACTCTTCTACAATCCTTCATCAAAAAGTCGTCGATGGAATGTAGGGGTGATGCAATACCGACGCATATCGCCTAGTTAAAACCAACCTACAAAATTCCAGCAAACACCAAAAACATGTGCACGACCAACAACCGAACAGTCTAAGCACACAACTGTAACAAAACGTGAACAGATGAAACACCAAAGAAGTCTGATACCTGGGAACATTCTGTGATCTTTTGACCAATTTAAACAGATGCTTTACGACTGATATGGAGTAAATTTTAAGGAGTTAAGATTGATTTATTTTGAAATTTGTAAAATTAACTTCTAATATAATAACCGCAGCATACTTATTTATAGAACAAACTACATAGACATCGTTGAATACTAGAATTAATTTTGTTCAACAAAAGAGTTGCTTTTATCAACGACCAATGCTCTACTAAGAAAACACTGACTAATAATCCATAAAACAGATAGACAGACATTAGTTACGTCGATAAAGCATATGTTCACCGTTATCCATTTAAGTAATAGAACATATAGGCCGATTTCTAATCATAATGAACATAAATTAAGGTGGACTTGTGAATATCCAGCTGACGAGTCCCAGACAGGATGAAACGCGTTTATTGGATCTCACTGCTAGCCACAATTACCTCTGTTTATAAGCACAACTTTATCTCTAATTGCGTCATAGTCTGATCCATTTATTTATTAGTTTACACCCTAATCAAACTTATTCGATTTGAGAAAAATATCTGTTAGTTATGTTCTTCATAGATACTTTCTCTTAGAGTACTTATATAAAATTGGAAAACATTGGTTAACTATTTTATCCTAAGTAAAAAGACTCTGTTTCTTTTCAGTAATCTCCGTTTGAACTGAAAACTTCGTAATCATTTTCACCGATAATTTCGTTCATGAACATGACACTAAACCGTGTAATTACCACACACAAATAGAGAAAAACCCTAGGTAGATGTTTTAACATTAGCTAAAACTCTTTAAAAGTGCAGAGACATAATTTCTAAACAAACTAAGACCTTGGGACAAAGTATCAATTGACAGGGTTCCGCTGGATTATAATTCGTAATAAAACCATTTCATTTCACAATTGTTAATGAATACTGCAAACTGGGTAACCAGCGCAAATTAATGACATATATCTGTTTATTAGTCGACAAATGAATTGATAATATTCAGCTCAAGACTTTAAGAACTCATTGGGAGGAATTGTTTTTATTTATTTAAACACATAAATACTGGTATAAGGAGGCAGCAAGTATAGATGCGTCACACAGATCATTCGATTTGTGTGAGCGTTGTAATACTGATCAGGCATTCAAGCCGAAACAAGTGGTTTTCTTCAGGTGCTACTCCTCAGGCCTCTGACCTACAGGTGTAACCCACAGGACAGTCGATCAACGCTAGGCGATGCAGTCACATGTTAGCCGGTGGCCAACAACAGGTTCCATTGTTCCCTCAAGATCCTGGAGTTCATGTGCACCAATTAACCTAAATGGACCTTCTGCGTCCACAAACCCGGCTAATGCGCCGGATATTCTCTTTTCGTCTTCTCCATTTCGGAAACAAAACTCCTGCAGCGAGAGACCAGTGAGTAGGACTTTCATGGGAGTGGCTGTATTTACGTGGATATATGAAACATTTCGAGTGGAAGAGCTGACTCCCTTATGGCCGTGCCAGGGCCTGTAGGTTCAGGATCACATAGTTGAAAATATTCAGAGGGTTCGTTACATTCTGTCAATAAATAACACTACCTGAACGGAAATAAAACACCCTTTTGAGCACCAATTGAGCTGTTCACCACTGAATACCAATCTGGTAGTTTTCATTGGCACACACTCACTGAGAAATTTGTAAACCCTGTGTTCGATCTCTGTTGGTAAGATTGGGGATACATATTGGTGCGGAGTCCCATAGTAGGACGAATAGCTATCCAGCCATACCACTTGGTTTTCTATGGTTGTTTAACTAATGGTCAGTCTGTAACATAAACTATATTGTTATTGACTGAAAAAAATACTCATCAATTTTAGTGTGCAAATCCGATAGTAATTAAACGGTAGTTGATTTACATAAATTTCTTCGTCTGCCAATAATCAAAATTCCATTATAGAATGTATGTCTATTCATAATAGTAGTGAATATAATCATAACATGGCTCGATTAAACATAGCAAAAGAGTTCCCTCTACTGCCCTACAAAAATTAAAACACCATAATTGTATTAAAAAGACAAAAAACACATTGAGCATTAAACAAATGATTACGATACAATTCAATTCACTGTGGTGTGTGCTACTTATATAGACATAAGTAGTATAAGTCAGTCAGCCAGTCACTCAGCTACAATGTAGGACCAGGCACAGATGTGCATCGGTCCAAGTTGCCACACTTCATTAGCACAACAAGATGAACATCGGATTCATAGAAGTAGTTAACTAATTGGTGGTAATATAAAAAAAGAAAGATTGCATATAAGGACATAATACAGGAAGAAAGAATTAGTCCGTAGAAAGAAAGATATGAAGTGATTTTAAAACGCCAGTCGGGAATAGAATGTCTGGTAGCAGAAGGTCGAGAAGATCGAAAAACGAAAGAACGGGCACAGAAAGTAATTGGTATAGAAATGCAGGAACAATGACATCTGAGACACTAATTTAACATTTTGTAAATGAAGTATTTATTGTATGATTCTCCTATTTTACTAAGATATTCTATTATGTTGTATTAAAATACATTCGATTGTCCCCACTTGTGTTCTCGTTCACTACATTACAACTGAACTAATCGTGAGATAAATAACACAGTGTTTTTGAAATCAAGAACAAATTAGTGAAGTTTGAACATTGAACCTAACTGTTTAACTAATAAAGCAAAACAATGTTTACACAATAAAACAAACAAACAAACAAATGTCGTTATGACTTTTTCTAATGAGTCATAGTCAAGAGGATAAGAGACAAAATGGATTATCTCTAGTATGATTAATTGAAATTAACACGTTGGTGATTTAAACAAAAATTCAATTTCTGTTAAATCCAGGTTGAATGGAGTTCTCTCTCTGTTGATTGGTCAATTTATAGAATCTATTCATTTCAGACGGATCATAGAACCACTGTTACAGCAGTAGTGCTTCGACTAAGATCAATCTGTGATAAATGCTACCTATAAATTAAATTGATTCGTATAAAACTCCTTTGACTTAGCAATAATAATCAGCTCACTACTAATGACTTATTTTAAGATGTTCCTGAATTTCTAGTAAAAAGCCGTGACTGATGAAGTTCAAACATGTTGAGAGTGAAAAAATTGTCATAATTTGGATTGATTAATTGTAGGGATCAAATGAACAAGTTTACAATGTGATCAATTCAGTCATTTCTAATCATATTTTAACAAATCAATATTGTAATACTATTCAGTTCAATATTTCTATGGTAAAGATATTGACTTACATGTTAAACAAGCTTCTGGCAATCGATTTGGTATCCATTTACGTTCGTGATGATCACAAATCAGTGTTATATGTCTTCTACGCTGTAACCACCATGGATTAGGAATATTGTTATTATTAAGTGATGATCTATTATCTGTTGACGAAAACGACGACGATGATTGTGCTGGATTGATTTCATCTAGGTCTGGATCCATTGGCTCTAACCAACGATCAGATGGACAGAATACTTCAGCATAAGCGAAGGTATGAGAGGTTTGCTGATTTACACGGAACCGATAGTCAACTACTCCATTACCACTTGGTGGATTGATGGGAACACATAAAAGAGCTATAAAAGAAATCGATAAAAAAAATTAATTAAACATGTTAAAGTGATTGTTAAATTTCAAAATGTTTCTTAACTATTTTCTAGACAAAGTGAAATACTGTTATAATTCCTTTTATTACGACCCAGCTACTCCTATTGCCTAGTAGTCTTGATCACTATTTCACTCGACAAGCCCCCAAATTAGAACATAGTTGAACAAGAACGTAATTATATTGCAAATAAAAGTGTTGCATGGAAGAAGGAATCATAACATGAAAAACGTTAGTATATTTATCATCTCTATATGAGTAGATTCTAGTCTTCTCCACGTCTCCGAAAGCGTTGGTTGTCTAGGAAATGGCCATTCAGCGTGCTTCAACACAATCCTACACGGAACATGCTTTAATCCAATCTATATACCGCTAACAAGTATCTACCTTGGTCGTGACCATGATTTAAAAGGAATCTTATCTAAACTATGCTAAAAACTATTTTCTCCACCAAAGTATTTTAACAAAGTTGGATAATATGTAACAATGAAATCCAAGAACAGTATTTCGTCTTATTTGAGACTCGTCAGTCGGATGTATACGGGACATTCTAATATTCATGTTTACACCGTTCACTTCAAACGCCCAACGCAATAACTCTGATGAGCTACAAAGGTCAGATAACCGCTTACATGTACAATGGTTAAAATTTTATTTAAAAGAGTTTGTATCTTCCCCTTGTCAAAACGAGTATCCTGAATTCCGCTTATAAATAACACCGAACTTAACGAAAATAATTGTGGGTAAATAAAAATATGGAGTGCCGAACCAACACACTAACAACTACTCAGAAAAAAGCAGTTTCATCGGCTTTAAACATTTGTCTCTTGGGATCAGCGGTCACTCTTCCAGGTTGGTAAAATCACTACCTATCCAATATTCTTTTCAGATCTCTCCTCAATGTAGGTAACTGGGACATATCAACTGTTCACATAACTCTAGCAGCATTCAAAAACACCTTGTCTGTATTAAAATAATTTCATCTCTTTTTTAAAATACTTTTCCTCTATCTCTAGAATCAAATTCTGCCTTATGGCTTCCTCTATCATAGTTATAGTCATGTGCAACGTAAAATCTGACTCATACGTACGTCACCTCAAGTTGTCATGTCTTATTAGCACAGAGCGATAAAATTATCGAGACAAATTTCAGATTACTGAGAGTAGTAATAGCATTTGTAGTAGTAGGAAAGATTATGTACATGCAAAGAAAAAAGGTATAAAGAGATTTTGTGACACAGGTTAGATTCTAAAGCAAGACAAAGAATGAATGTATATGGACCATTATGAGTCGTCCTGATTTATGTCATCAAAAGTTGCTAATCATCGTTTAGGATGATCACGCCGACTCCAACTCAGTCCACTTGTTACTGACTTCATGGACTAGTGCCACATCTTGGTTTAGCCACCCTTAGCTTACTCTAATCTACTCTTAAACTAGAAAATATTTCCCGTCGAGATAGGTGGTAATCGGCAATGCGTAACAAATATCCCAACCACCTTAGTTGATAAAGATTCATTACCTCACCAAATAATTTATCATATTTACCTAATACTTAATGCAGACTTCAACTTTATTCTTTGTGCCAACTACGCTAACAGTTCCAGTTCACAAATTGTCATTCCTGAAACCACATTTTAACTTACATGTTAAACTATTTAACTATTCGACTGAAAATTTCTATTTGTTATCAATAATAACATCAGTTCATAATCAAACCCTAATTATTCAATCTATTTTGATAGTAACTATGATCGGTATCATAAACACAATTAGAATATACTAATTTTAATTACACGACTTATTGTTGAATGGAAAGAAAAATGCACACACACACACAGAGATACATACATACTACTAGTATTTCTGATGATACAAATAAATTCTATAATATATTGAAATTTCTATTCATTCATACATCATTTTATGATAATAGAAAGAGACTATAGAAAATCAATTTAACTTATCTCAGTTGATGTATTCAGTTAGAAAGGTAAGTTAAGGTGAGTGAAGTGAAGTAAGGTGAAGTGGAGTAGCATGCAATAATCACTATCGTAACAAATAACTAACTGACTAAATAAATAAATAAATAGAGAGATAAGTGAATAAACATAACAAACATAATTGAGTAGCTAAGAGAGAAAACATTAGTTAAGTAACTGATCATTCATAGATCAATGAAAGAAAGAATGAATGAAGAAATAAATAAACCAGTGAATTAAGCAATCAATAAAAATCAACGATTTCGTTGAGTACTTTTGAAGTTTCAATGTGATGTGTGTGTTTTTCTTAAAACAAATTCAAGATGGTTTTAATTTCATATTCATACCAGCACTGTGTTATACTTGAGTTGATCTAGAATATTTTCAATATTCAGTCATTGTAATGCATTCAACACTTACGGTTATTTTCTTGTTGTTGTCTAACAGTAAATCCACGATCACTATATATAGACGTTGAATTAATTATCCCTAAAGATTTCGTCATTTGAATTCGTCATCAATCGGTGACGAAATTTGAAATTATTCAATGGTTAGATGGTGTCATTGTCACTGATGAGACTTGAAATTAATGGGCACATTTGTTTCAATGTATCTTGATTTTTGATAGTCATCAAACTAATGTCAACTCAAAAATTTCAGAAATTCTCATTGTGGAAATTAAAACAAGATATCTATACGAGATACCATGCCAGTGTCCATTCTACAAGACTTCAATGCAATTTTGATCACGAACACGTAACTGATCACACTAGAACATTAGTATATTTCAACGACAATAACGAACAATAAGAAGTAATAATCTGATAGAAAACATATGACACATCTAATACTTGTCAGACCATCTACTACTCTGGCTAGGTAAACAACCAATCAGTATTTTCATCAGCTAAACATCAGGTTTACGTTTTTATAACTTGAGTCAGCTCTCAGTAAGCCTCAATAGTGAGTAATTTCGAGAAGTAATGCCTAGAGTTCTAGTAACAGGCTATGATCAATGTAGATCGATTATATCGAGTCCGATGCAACTACACATCAATGTCACTAGATCATGATTTCGTAATGCTGTAAGTTGACTGACTGACTGACTGTCTTCACAAGCATCAACCATTAGGTCCCAACTGGTTAGTATAAGGATTGATGTCTCGCCATCAAGTCTGAAATTCTTTGAATGGTTCATCAGTGTAAAATACTGAACAGTTCAATGCTACAATGAATGAAAGAGCCATTTAATGTTTCCTCATTTTCAATGATTATCTGTCTACAATCAGTCCATCATGTGTATAACATAAACATTTAAACAATCTCTGTAATAAACAACAGACAAACTAATGCTTACCAATATATTCTAACACTATGCCTTTTCCATGAATAATATATGGATCTAATAAATTTAAATTTGATGTAAACTGTAAACCGTATACATTACTGATTGGACCATAAATTTGCCCAACTAAATATGATTCATCTGGTGGATATAATTTATTATAATCTATTGAATTAAATGAAAACGATCCAGAGGAGATTGAAGATGAAGAAGAAGAAGAAGATAATGATGATGAATTGGTCATTTGTATTTCTGTTAATTTTGTTTTTGTCTTTGTAGCGATTGTTTTCAATGTGGAATTATTGATTAAACAAAAACGAATTATTGGTATATTGCTAATTGTACCATCATAAACATTAGAGATACGAGCATCGACTGATAAATAATCATGACTACATGCAATTCCAGGATTTGATGGACATGCTGATCCAGTAGCCAATATTAAATTATTATTATGATGATTATGATTATTATTTGATAACGATGACAATGATGAAGTAGATGAGGATGATGAAGAAGCGAAAGCCGATGAAATTTCATCTACAATAGTGTAAAGGAAAAAAGTACAAACAGCATAAAATGTGATGAGTTTTATGGTGTTCTGAGGTTTATATCAATCCATTTAAATCACACTTGATTAATTCAACCATTAAAAAACGGATAAACGCGTGATGTATGCTACTTATTTTGACAGATATAAGTAGTATGTAACACCAAAATGAAATAGACTGCCTGTTAGCAAACCTTTCAGATTGAATTACGAAAAACAGAAGAGGAAACGGTGAGGAATTACGATGACAGCCAAATATGAAGAATGAAGAAGTATGTACACGACAACTGAAAGGAGACTTGCAAATAAAGGACTTAATTTTATGAAAGCATAGTGATATTTGACGTTAAATGATAAATTGGTTATCCCCACACAAGTGTTCGTTCAGTACATTCAAATAATGTGTATTGACGTTTTATTGTCAATAGCATTGGTTAATGCTGACAGTTACTATATTCTCATCAGCTGAATTAAATAAATTAAACAGTTGCTTTTGACAGCCTCTACTCATATTTCGATATCACATACTATGACGTTTTTCTGGTTTTTCATTACGAACATCAAGACAGTTCTACTGTATGGAGCTGAAACCTCAAGAACTATAACAATCATGTTCAAAAATGCACAATTATTTACGTAACATACTGAATGTCCGTTGGCCGGATACTATCAGCAACAGCCAACTGTGCGAGAGAACAAACTAGCTTCTAAATGAGAAGGAGATTAGTAAAAGACAGAGTTCCAGGGAGAATTCTGGTAGGGCAGCCTAAGCTCCTCCATGAGGGTTAACAAGCGTAAGTAATGATGTCAAACTAGGTTAATCACATTCATTTTACACTGAAATTTAATCAAAATATATAGAATGCCTTTGATGTAAAAGAAGTAAGCCCATTTCAACAAAAATATATTTGTATATATATTGAAAGCGAGAGATGTAAATGGCAGCGGCAATAGGAAATAGCAGACAATTGTTCAGACTTGTTAAGGAAACCGGTATTAACAACCCGACTGTTAGCAAAACTACCTCAGAGAAAGATGGACATATTAAACATTCTCAATCCAAGAGATTGGATCGATGGGCAGAACACTTTAGGGATCAGTTCAACTGGCCTTCAGCCACACTTCAGTTTCGCACGATCTTCAGTCAACCTGAATGGCAAGTTAATGTAGATCCTCCGACTCTCTACGAAGTTGAAAAAGCTAAAGCGAATCTGAAGCGAGGGAGAGCAGCAGGTCCTGACAGGTTTACTTCTGACATTTTCAAGGATGGTGGTCCAGTGTTAGCAGTGAGATTAACTGAGGTCTTAGATAGAATTTGGGAACTGGACGTAATCCCATTTGACTGGTCTCAACCGATGGTTTGAGACCCTGAATGACATGGCTCAAAATCGTTTGCAATGACTCAAGTGCATTCAGTCAGTCAGCTACAACGTAGGACCTCATTAACACAACAAGATGGACACCGGATTCATAGGAGTGGTTAGGTCAAAGGTTGCAATAAGGATATAGAATAGGAAGAAAGAATTAGTTCGTAGAAAGAAAGATATGAAGTGGTTTTAATCTATTAGTTTAAGGGAAGACAAAGAGTGTATACACCGACGCCATTGTGATCGATTCTGAGCCATGTCGACAAGAGTCTCCAACCATTGGTTACGAAAGTCACGCGGACCCCAACCAAGTAGTCTGCATCTACAAACATGGCTCACTCTTTGTGTTCTCCCAAATTCTAATCTTCTGAATTCTTCCTGTCCCTTTTTTTTCAAATTTAATTCACTGTATTATACTTCTTGAATAACATCTTCAAGCCCTAATGTTTACGATTACTGCTTATACTCTTACTATCTCTACCACTACGGAATTTGAGTAGACAATCGCATCTCTGTGCTAATGTGGTGTGGCAACTCGAACTGATGTACGTACGTACGAAGTTCTACGTTGTTACTCACTGATATATATTTTGAGTACTAGAGAGATTTTGTCATTTAAAGATGATCATTGTTACTTATCCAAAAGAACTGAAGAACATTGTCCGGCGTGGTTAAAAAGAGGAGGCAACGGCTCAATAAGAAGTTCTATAATCGAACACAGGTCACTCATTCAAGACAGACTCTGTTTTTTAAAGTCATCTACAAGGTAAGTAGAAGCCTTCCTAAGACAATTAGACTGCATGTTCTTTGCATTGCCGAGGCAATAGCCATACATTTTGAAAAACCAGAATTATGTGTACAAAAAAGACTGGTACAACCTCTTCTTCTACCATGATCTTAATGTATTAAAAAATATTCTCTTTCTTTATACTCTCGTTCCCTTACAGCCAACTGCTTCACCTTCCATCTTCCCTTCAAATCTTCTACCCCCATCCGGTTTGTTTTTATTTCCACGATCACATTTCATCTCTGTTTCAACATTTTATTTTATCATGCTGAGCCATCATTACCCAATGAATAATTCAGCCATTAACTATCAAACGGTTATTAAACTTTCCTTGTTTAAAATTTTTTTTACCTTTGTTTATTTAACCTCACTGTCACCATGTATAACAGAAGTTTATTATCAGTATTATTATCACCCTGTAAAAATAAGTATATATATTTGCGATTGTACAGCTTTGAAAATGAATTCGCCAAAAAAAGAACTCTTCGCTGAACTAATCTTTCTTTCTTATTTGATTGTATTTACACTTCACACTATTACCGTACATACAAATTCAACTCCATGCTGCTTACACATATTTCATCCATTAACATAAACACGCACAACTACACAAACATGTCTCATATAAATCACTTCGACCGAAATCATATAACATTGACTTGGTCAGACTTTTTTCTGATTAATTGCACTCAATATTCTTACTTTGTTCCTTTGTATTAATTAAACTTGAGTTGATTTAATGTGGTTACTTATTCTCTGAAGAAGCGATTTACACTGAGTCACAAAACGCCAAAAAACTCCATCTTTCTACTCATAAGGATAATACAAATATATGATTCTTGTTAATAATTGTAAGATGATATATAATTGACATTGGTCACTTTATAACAGCTGAAGACAGAAAAGTATGGTCGGAGATTTATTCAAAAAGCTGAACTGAATTATTTGAAAGTTTAATAAATGTCGATTGAATATATAGATGTGATTAGTTTACAAGTAAATGATAAATGTCACTTAGTAAGAAAGACAGCAACATAAAAAGAAAACATTTTAGGTGGATCAGTTTATATGTATAACTCCGGCTAGAACCCCTCTGCGGCTACTGCTGATCCCAAGCCCAGGCGAAAGAGGACGTTTGGGTATGGGGTTAGAGACCCCATCCCGTAGAAAGCCAACTCGTTGTTTGTATGTATATTTTAGGAATAGAGAAATGAAAGGGCGGGAATACTAAATAAGGCGTAGTATAACGATAGGAAAATTCTGGAACAATTTAGTGATCAACTGAATCAAAATCTATTAAAAAATGAAATACTGGTAATGAATTATGTAAAATCGAAAATCCTGATTCTTATCTCTACATAGCAATAATGAATTAGGAATTTGTATGTTAACATTGAATCACTTTCCAAGGTACATTCAGCAATTTAACGAGTAATTTATCAAGATAATTGCAAAATAGGGTTGTGATGGCAGTTGACAATAACCTGTGAGTTACTAATTGTCCTAGAAATTGCTGATCTGTCCCCTAAATCTTCATTTAAAATATGAATTCTTATATTTGAATTGCTATAAGCTGATCACGTTTCTAAGATCTACATTCCTTATGATAAGCTTAACTTTTATCTGATTGGTCGCTTAAAAATTTAGCAAACTTTCGAGGTCAATAACAAATTATAGTTACGAATATCTGTTTCGTCCTATTGTGGGACCCCTTAGTAGTGCGCACCCACGATCCCGCCTCGTGAGACTCGAACTCAGGAACTATCAGTCTCGCACCAGGCGCTTAACCAACTAGACCACTGAGCCGGCATCCAACGGTGTTAGTGTCTAACTTCAACCAATCAACGAAATCGAGCGAGGCATCCACTATTGTCTTCAATGAGTTACTATCTCACAAATGATTTGTTTGAACTCCATTGAGCACTGCTTCTCACTAGAACTCCAGTTACTAGTGATCATATGTTGATTAATATCAGAAGGGGTTTTTTGTGGATATGATACTAATTCATTTTTACATTTTAAAAAGACATTGAAAGTTTTATTGTCAAAAGTCCAAACTTCTCTTTAATGAATGTTCAGTCAATGCCGGTTAAACTTTTGTGGATCGTATACAATTGATGTGTGTATACAGTATACAGTAAGCACTCCATTGTATAGTCGGCTATTCATATTCTGCTTATCTAAATTCCTTTCAACTACAGCCGTCATGATTATAAATATTAACTTGAAATGCTAGTACTCTAAATTCGATGATAGAAGAAGTATTAAACAAGTGATAGCCCTAAACCATGACGTAATTCCAATGTAAAATTGGTTTGTTAAGAAGAATGTAAAAACGTTCTCATATTACTCCAAACATAACAGTTGTATATTGTGAGGAGGTTGAAGGTAGTTAGCATAAAACACTGCTCGACCTAGGTTTTGTGCTCCTTATCATCAAAAAATACTTACAATACTGAAGCATTTGATTTTCTATGTTTAATTTGAAGAAGCATCACCTCATTTCAAGGTCTAAGATGTCACCACTGAGCCATCTGGAGCAAAATTATCTAGGCGAAAACATGATAGATGGAATTCTACCTAATAATATTGAGTTTTAGATAAACGTAGTATTAATCAATACCTGGTGATCAATCGATGTTTTAGGTTATCTGATTATGAAGCACCTTTTATCCAGTCCTCAAAAATTAATTCAATCAGTCTTAGTTATTCGACCCACTGAATTCCTCCTACGTACACGTGATCGACCGCATCGAATGTTGATACGATTAACAAAAATACATAATTAACCAATGTAACATTGTAGAAAGCTATGGTAAATCTTGTGTTTTATAAT